CTAATAGGAGTCCAATAGGAGACTAATAGGAGTCTATTAAGAGTTGCATACGGGCACAAAGATCTCGATACGAGCTGTACGAGTTTGGTACGACTTTGGTACGAGGTGGCTACGAGCTGCTAAATAATTCGGCGGGAATTACACTCGTATAGCTCGTATTAGACTCGGTCAACTCGGCAATACATTTTGCAGACGATCCTCATACGGGTTCTGTATGAGCACCACGAGGTCGCCATGGGGTACTACGAGTAGGACGAGTGTGTTACGAGGGCCGACTGATTTGAGCAGTTCCAAAACGCTTGTAGATCAGTACGAGCTATCCCGAGTAACCCCGAGTTTAGTACGACCTCGCTACGAACTCCATACGAGTACCCCCGAGTCAGCTCGGGTCCATACTCGGGACGCAACTCGGCAGCGTGTGAGAGCCCTTAAAGACAATTTGGCCCGTAATCCCAGTATCTTTATGAACCAGGCAGATAAAGGTGGGGCTATTGTAATCATGGATTCTTGTGAATAATTATTTGTCACTCAAATCTTTCTTAATAGATGAAATAGTATGATTGGTTGGTTGGTTTGTTGTTTAACGCCGCACTCAGCTATATTCCAGCTATATCACGGCGGTCTGTAAATAATCGAGTCTGGACCAGACCATCCAGTGATTGATATCATGAGCATCGACCCACGCAATTGGGATCAATGACATGTATCAACGAAGTCAGCGAGCCTGACTAGCCGATCCCGTTAGTCGCCTTTTACGACAAGCATAGTCGCCTTTTACGGAAAGCATGGGTTGCTGAAGACCTATTCTACCCCGGAATCTTCACGCGTCGAAATAGTATGAAACATATGAGCCGGTTTCACTGGTGTCTCTATTTCTACTTCAGGTGGGCCAATCAGTGAAAGGGACTTGGCTATTTGACCATTAATGAACGCTGTCTGACCATCGATATACCCGAAGCTTAACTTAAACTACGAATATATTCCCTAGTTTTTATTTTGCCGAAAAGAGCAGAAACAGATCTTACTCCTTGCCTCAATGTTCTGTCCCCAAATTTCAAATTTCCCGTTGATGTTATGTATGACGACGTCCAAACTTCACTTTCTGTAAATTACAGGTAACATTTGCTTTCATTTTTCACAAATTGTTTTGAACTTTTGAAGATAGAGATGTAAATATATCTATTGTAAACGGGTATAGAGACAATTGTCCATCGATGAAGGAATGAATGGCGTACAAAGTTGAAAAATGAAATGCGTTGACAGAACTGAACTTGGTTCTTTTTTACCCTACTTTAACGGCAATGTTTCAGATGTGTGGGCTTCCATTGTAAAGAGCCTGTCAACTGAGAGTGGTCTGTCTCGTCGAGACTTCGCCTACTTTTGATCGTGAAGCTAAAACATAGTTCAATCTAACGTCTCAAACTCCTTCAACAAAAAGTTACTCTGTGATCGCATCTTTGACCCCAAGTACCAATTTTGACAAGATCTCCATTCTATGCCAGCCATCAATATCTTGATCGAAGGATCAGCAGATGATATTTGATGAAATCACTCAGATGTCTCAGAACCAGTCATATATATATTGATGCCAGCCTCTCTGACAGAACTTTTCAATTCACAACAAACATCCAACATCAGAACCAGAGTCAGCAAAGAAGAAGGCAACAGTTCACTGCGCATCTTCCCGAGGCAAGTGAGTTAACTGACTATAAAAGTCCAGTTTCCACTGCGATGCTGGAAAAGAGAGTAGGCAATGGAGGATCACGTTCAGGTCCATACACCACCTGGATATGCCTCTTCTCTTGCATCCCCTATGGAGAGGTCACTCCTTCACGTTCACTCCTTGGTGTGTGTGCTAATTTTGATCAGGGTGGCCTTGACTGAACAGGGGAAGTTATACGTTAGAATCAATATACCAGTCTGACAATGCACAGTGTAACAACTATACCAGTCTGACAATGCACAGTGTAACAACTACACCAGTCTGACAATGCACAGTGTAACAACTATACCAGTCTGACAATGCACAGTGTAACAACTACACCAGTCTGACAATGCACGGTGTAACAACTACACCAGTCTGACAATGCACGGTGTTACAACTACACCAGTCTGACAATGCACAGTGTAACAACTATACCAGTCTGACAATGCACAGTGTAACAACTATACCAGTCTGACAATGCACAGTGTAACAACTATACCAGTCTGACAATGCACAGTGTAACAACTACACCAGTCTGACAATGCACAGTGTAACAACTATACCAGTCTGACAATGCACAGTGTAACAACTATACCAGTCTGATAATGCACAGTGTAACAACTATACCAGTCTGACAATGCACAGTGTAACAACTATACCAGTCTGACAATGCACAGTGTAACAACTATACCAGTCTTACAATGCACAGTGTAACAACTATACCAGTCTGACAATGCACAGTGTAACAACTATACCAGTCTGACAATGCACAGTGTAACAACTATACCAGTCTGACAATGCACAGTGTAACAACTACACCAGTCTGACAATGCACGGTTTAACAACTATACCAGTCTGACAATGCACGGTGTAACAACTATACCAGTCTGACAATGCACAGTGTAACAACTATACCAGTCTGACAATGCACAGTGTAACAACTATACCAGTCTGACAATGCACAGTGTAACAACTATACCAGTCTTACAATGCACAGTGTAACAACTATACCAGTCTGACAATGCACAGTGTAACAACTATACCAGTCTGACAATGCACAGTGTAACAACTATACCAGTCTGACAATGCACAGTGTAACAACTATACCAGTCTGACAATGCACAGTGTAACAACTATACCAGTCTGACAATGCACAGTGTAACAACTACACCAGTCTGACAATGCACAGTGTAACAACTATACCAGTCTTACAATGCACAGTGTAACAACTATACCAGTCTGACAATGCACAGTGTAACAACTACACCAGTCTGACAATGCACAGTGTAACAACTATACCAGTCTGACAATGCACAGTGTAACAACTATACCAGTCTGACAATGCACAGTGTAACAACTATACCAGTCTGACAATGCACAGTGTAACAACTAGAATGTGACACGTTTGTATTTAAACCTAGAAGAAGGGAATTGAAATGAATTACTGCTACATGACAAAACAAGAGAAAAACGGGCTATAGATCACCAGCATCCAAAGTTAGACCACTTACGTCACCTCTGATACTTGCAATACCATCTAGCTGCTGGCACTTATTGGCAAGTTAAGCTGAAATTAACACACATTCTGAGATTAAAACAGGGGTAGGAATAAAAATACTATGAAAGACGTGGTCCTACGTCTTCTGTCACCCATGCTCCTCCTCCAGCAGTTGCTCTCCTTTTAACCTTACACTTTATTTTCACACTGTGTGTGTCTATACGATACGGGGGCGGTCGGGTAGCCTAGTGGTTAAAGCGTTCGCTCGTCACGCCGAAGACCCGGGTTCGATTCCCGACATGGGTACAATGTGTGAAGCCCATTTCTGGTGTCCCCCGCCGTGATATTGCTGGAATATTGCTAAAAGCGGCGTAAAACCATACTCACTCACTCTCACTTTACGATACGCCATCGGCTGCTCTACCACTATCTTGGTTTCAGGCACGAGGTGCTCCCAAGGCTCCTTCGCCTTAAAAAATGTTCATTATCATGGGCGATTTAAATTGACACAGTAGGGATGTCAATAACAGTAAGTGGAAGATCCAATACAGTTTTGCTTCACGACGATTTATGCATTGTTAATGATAATACAAGAACAAACCTACAACCTGGTACAGGCACATATTTTTCTTTTGATTTTTTTCAGTTACACACTCCGATTTGCTGGATGAATGGTCCGTCCAATAATTTTGTGACCACATCTTATGTTCCTTCGTCATCTTTATTTTAGCAAACTGGTTTTTGTTTCAAAAACATTTTAAAACAATTTTAAAGCTTATCCTTTACAGCTTCTTTCTGGTGAATGTTTTTTTCTAAATCCTCTACAAAGCCTCACAATCATGACGAAATGACAACTGCAAACAACCAAGGAAAGCAAGGAAAACGGCTGTAATTATTGCCATGCCATGTCATGATAATCTAAATAACTTCTTAAATGCTAAAGCAAGGCATATTTATTAACAATATAAACGAAAATCTTGACAAAGTTAATATGCCGTAACTGTCAATTCCAATACTCGCATGTCCAAGGTATGGGGCATTATCCAAAAGTATAAACGCAGGGGCTTTCGATCTGTTAAAACATTGGATCAATTAGTAGCCCAATATCAGATTTTGCTAATAAATGTTTGTTTGTTGTTTAACGCCACACTCAGCAATATTATATCCCAATTACGTGGATCGATGCTCATAATGTCAATCACTTGATTGTCTGGTCCAGACTCGATTATTTACAGACCGCCGTCATATAGCTGGAATATTGCTGGGTGCGGCGTTAAACAACAAACAAATTAACGTCTTATGGTATGACGCGGTCGGGTATCCAACCCCGGACCTTCCGCATGATGAATTGAGTAATCAAAGCTATTTACATATACATGTACTGCATGTACAAACATGAGATTGACTATTTCAGGTTGGAAACTGTTAAATGCTGCTTGTAACTCCCTCCATGGGAATGTTTTGAGTAATCGAATTTGAAAAAATACAGTTTTTGTCCGAGGTCAGCTACATGTTAAAACATATAAAAGTGAAATTGAATAAAGTCAAACGTCAATGACGACGTCAAGTGGGTTCGTATTGGATTGGTTTGGTTGGTTGGTTTGTTGATAAACGCCGCACTCAGCAATATTCCAGCTATACGACGGTGGTATGTAAATAATCGAGTCTGGACCAGACAATCCAGTGATTAATATTATGAGCATCGATCCACGCATTTGGGATCGATGACATGCATCAACCAAGTCAGTGAGTCTGACCACCCGATCCCATTAGTCGCCTTTTACGACAAGCATAGCAGTAGGAGCATGACAGTTAAAAAAAGCATGGTTTTCATTGGTTCATATATGTGTTAATATATGTGTGACCTTCCATAGGAGTTCACGTGCATATGTAATAAGCTAAATATGTGTCTGTGGTTTTCATTGGTTAATGTGAGTGACCTATCATCAGAGGTCACTTGCATGTGTAATCAGCCGAATAGTACGCTACATAATCTCACATATGAGAGCTGAATATGTTGGATTAAGTTTTTGTTCTATACTTTAGGTGTTTATTCCAAGTTACCACCTTGTTATTGTAACCAGATATCCACACCATTCTTGGATTCTAAAGTAATGCATTTATTAAAACAGTTAGCCTATATAGCCTTCACCTTCATCGAACACGGCGGGATAACTGGTTGCAGTTATCGTTCGCGTAGTATCGCTGGAAGCACATGCGTCTCTCCGGCTCACCTGCAAATCAAATTTCTAGCGTAGCGTCTAGACACTTTGCCTTCTAAAGAGTTGGATTCGTTTTGTTGGATGTTGTTGTATGCTGTTCTTGTTTGTTACTGTAACTTATTTTGCATACTATTATTCTTTTCAGCAACTGTTTTCTGCGTTTTCTCTCTCGTTCCAGGTCAGGACACTTTACATCTACAACGCAGTAATGGCGGTAAGAATTGTACCAGTATTAACTATATGCAGTGTTAAAGTACAGTTATATGGTTTACTGATATCCTATTCGCATTTCCTCGCAAAGGTTTATGTATTTAACTATGTTCAGACTCATAAGTAATATTATTTCATGTACATTGCGTTACTAGGCAGTCGCGCGTGACAGGTGGCGCCCAAAATTCATGGCGGCTACAAAACGTTTACTATTATTAAAGAACTACATATTTCAGATGTTATTCCAATTTATATGAGGTGTGGGTTCTGATGGAAACACAATTTGCAAACATTTGCTGCGTTTTTTGTCCTATCAGGCAAAAATGGGGTTTATTATGAATACCTATATGAATGTCAAATGTATCATTTTGTTTCATGTCATTAAAATAGGTCATAAGGCCTATGGATATAGGCTAAAGGCCTCCATAAACCTAAGCTTGTCATACCAAGCGACTTAGTGGACCAGGAAATCCATAAGGGTGTCATGATACACCTACTTCATGATACAATACTAATTGCCATGTTTGATTCACTACATGATACAAATCGCATTATATTTTGTGTGAATTCTTCATGTTCCATACCACCCAACAGACAACAAAATGTCGTTGATGTCAAATGGTTTGTGTTTGTATGATTGGTTAATTTATTCCTACAGTATCATAGTATAACTGACATTAAATGAAAATATAGGTTGGTGTATCATATGGGTCATATTGTCCTGTAGCAATTTGAAATACATCGCTGAAATGTGACAGCCATAGTGATCATGGTTAGTTATTTGGTTTATTTGGTATCATCAATACCCCAAGGCATGGGTCTAGTATTGTCAGTCACTGTATTGTCTTGTCCGGACCTAGCTGCAGTGGGGCGGTCAGGTAGCCTAGAGGTTAAAGCGTTAGCTCGTCACGCCGAAGACCCGAGTTCTATTCCCGACATGGGTACAATGTGTGAAGCCCATTTCTGGTGTCCCCAGACATGATATTGCTGGAATATTGCTAAAAGTGGCGTAAAACCTCACCCCCTCACTCACTCACCTAACTGCAGTAAACGTATCTGTGCTGCCAGAGCAAGATAATTGTGTTTAGATTTCCACAAACCTATCTTCCTGTGCCATACCTTATTAATTTTCTAAATTTGTTTCAGAGTGGCATTGTCTCTGTTAGCGGACATCCTACGACACGGCCAGAGCTTGGTGGACCAAGTACTCTTTCAACTGTTTTGATTGGACCATCTTGAGGTAAAGTAACGTTTTCCTTGTTTATTTGCATCTAACGTAAAACATTTTGCACAATTATTTCTATATTTTTAACCTGTATTACATTAAAAAAATAAATCCCAAAGTACCTGTTAACAAAAAAAACCATTCAGATTTAACATGTCATTAAGTTATAGTGGCCTTAGACTGCTGTTGTATCTTTTAAATTGTAATGACAACTCAAACTGCTATGGTTGAACATTGCGGGGCGGTTTTTTTCATTAAAAAAACATCAGTTAATATTCCGTGTCTCGAACACAAACCTCAGCAGTGAAATATTGCAATACTAGGATAAACCTGATAAAATAGAGTGCAGAGTTACTTCTCTTTACATCATGTTACATGAGCACTGATCTATTGCACATCTCCTGTTTGGATCATGGTGGCAGATTCTGAGGAGTTTGTGTGCTTGTTTTGCCATTTGCAAACTTGGCCAATGCAAATGTGAAATTTGCAGGAAAATCACTGGAGATAATGATTTAATATTTATATATTTACTGTATGCTAGGCATTGTTTTAGATAATGAGATTAATATTACTGTGTGTAATTGTCTCTTAAAAAATAAGCCTGAAATAGCAATCAGCTGTACATCCCACATTTTCTTCCTTATCTATCGGTTATTCACTTTAAAAAATACCCAAAATCATAACTGAGAAGAATTTGTAATGCTGTGATAGAAATACATTGTGTCTCTAACTCCTCATGTTCATTTTAAGGGGTCAGTAGAGTTAATGTAAATAATGGTGAGTTTAGTGCGCTCTGCTGATCAGTTCACACCATCTTTCCTAGGCAAGGGAGTTAACTTACTTTAAAGGTCCAGCTTCCACCCTTGCCAAACTAGGCTGGAAATTCTAAGTTATGTTTTGGCTGGACTACGAGTCTATGCATAGTCCAATCAAAATTGCATTACAAAATCGACATGTGGTTTGTAAACTGCTGTTAAGATTGCTGTTTGGGAGGGACATAGAAGGGCCATAACTCTTAAAAGCAAATTCTAGCCTAGTTTGGCAAGAATGGAAACTGGGCTTTTATAGTCTGTTAACTCAAAAAGATGAGTTCAATCACGATTTTGCCGAAATTAATATAAACAATATTTAATGATATCTTCGATTAAGTTAATATAATAGATTACAAACAAACTACTGTCACAAGCCTAATTATAAACATAATGCTGAGTGTTGCGTTGAGACAAAAACATGACATGATTCAATTCTATATACATATGATTATTTTTCAATTTGCAGATCCTGTATTGGAGACTCTAAATAAATGTAACAGAGCCATGCTTTTCTCTGCTATGATGGATTCAGACCTTTTTAACAGCGGCTTTGTCTCCAAAACCCGTAGACAACTCCCTGAAATGGAAAGAAAAGTCTTAGACCTAGCTGCGGCCACAGATATTGTACAAGGCATTTTCTACTCCATTGCCTTTACACAGGGAAGTCGGATGTTTGTGTCCTATTTTAAAAGTGGGTGCTTCTCTGGAATCAGGCCATCCATTTCCAATGTTCTTCAGGAATCGGATTCAACAGTCACTCAACTTTTACCATATAGGTGATGTTGTTAAGTATTAGTAATGTCTGTCCTTTGATACAGTTATCATAGTATGGATTCATACCAATTTCATGAAGTCAGAAAATTATTATTATCTATCTGTATAGCATTTAGCAGTCTGCAACTTTAGCCACTAGTTGGAAGCCCAAGGCTAGTAAAATTCTGTTTGGTCTATTAAACGCAGTTAAGAATAGTCCATATAACAACACTACCCCATTCATTCTACTGAAAATGATCCTAAGAGCCGAGTTCAGACTAGTACCAGTAGTAGTCTTGGCAGATTTTGGAGACTGATTATGTGTTACTTTACTAGCCTATATAGCATGAGTGGTGCAGCCCTGAATATAGTACATTTATGAATTATGCACATTATATCTTTTTTGTCCTAAGAATACTCACCCACAAAGACTTGAACAAGAAAGTTCTACAGCAACAAAAGGCAGCACTCTCTCGAAGCAAAAGCCATGTGAAACAGAATGGGCATACTGATGGTAATGTATATAGATAAATATATTGTGCTGTAAAAGGTAGCTCAAAATGGGCCATTGTTTGACAGTTTCCTTCCTACATGCCATGGTTGGTTATCAACAATCTGAAATTTCAGTTCAAGCATTTTAAATGGCATGTTGACAATCTTTGATATACTGGAAGCATTTTATTAAGCATTGTAATTTGGTACAAATTCTCAATTTGAATTTAATTCTGGTTCCTTTGTCAGCCAGTGTTCCATGTATGAATCAATTTGTATTTTATTGGACATATATGTGCAGTAATGATATAAGTTGTTTGGAAACCTCTGTTACCTTTGTTGCATTTTCTTGTTCACCGAGTAAAACCTTTTTGATCAGTATATTTTGAGTCTACGAGCCCAAACTTGGTTCTTAGCATCATATTCAGTATATTTTAGTGTTATCATATGGCATTACTAGACCAAAGAGACTTTTAATAAACCTGGGCTTCCCACTAGTGGCTAAAGTCTCAGACTGATTGTTCCTAAAATTAACCATATGGCTGCCACTAATCTTAAAGTCCATAGATAATTGAAAATCCTAAAACACAACCTGTTTTTTTTTAATCCAAAAGTAGTTAATTGCAATCATTGTCTTTTCGTTTGTTAAATGCTGCATTCACCAATATTACAACTACCAGTTTATAATGGCAGCTGTAAATAATAAACAAAATTGAAATCCTCAGTGGCTGATAAATCTGAAATATATCTACTAGCCACAGGACAAGGCATGTCTACATTCACTTGTGCTGATATTATGTTTATATTTGTCCACAAAAATTCTGAAAACCTTCATTGAAGGAAATAAATGATTTTGGCTCAGTAAATGCATCTGCCACTGAATAAGTACTTGGAGCATATTTGGTTGTCCAAGTATAGAATTCTACATACCACTGCTCGAGTCCTGTAGTCCTTTGCAGTACTGCCAATTAGTTAAGGTATTATACGTACCAGTAGAAATTTACCCTTTTTAAGGGTTCTGCTGTATGTTATCATTATAAGGACAAGTGTACTAAAACTGTTAGTTTCTATTGCTGGTATGGCACTCCAATGTGTCAAGCCCTGAGTAATCTGTGGAGTAGCTGTATTGAACTCAAAGTATGTTGACATTCATCATGTTCATCTCTTATTATGCACATACCACTACCTTAACAGCAGTTGTTATGATTGCATACTTTTGATTTTCTTTGTAAGTATGTTTATTTTCATTGTGATCATAGTCATAGTTGCTCACATTTAATGATATACCCAGTAGTTTGCTTTTGGCAGTTACATCTTATATTAGTCTAATTTCCATACGTTTCATGACTATGTTATGTTTTATTTCTGTTATCTAAAGACCACAGTGGACAATACTTTTTCTATGAAATGTTATTCTCATTTGGGGCCATCTATGTCAAATAATTTATATGAATTTATACATGAGAGGACAAGTATTGAAAAAGTAATTATTGTATATACCAACTTAGTTTGGAAAAATAGCAATAACATTATTGTAATGTTTGATTAGGTTTGTTTAAGGCATCATCAGGTTTTTTCATTGTTTGTAATTTTCATGGGTTTCTTTCAGCCTTGTGTTTCTTTAAGTATAAACATAATAAAGTATAGTTGGCCATGAATATAAGAAGAACAAATTAGACTTTTTAAAAACTTTTGTAGTTAATCAGCATGATCAGAGCAATGTTGTTGTTTTTCAGGACCCAAGAGACAATGCTACAGCCAGTATTTCAACAGCAGATGGAGTATATGCAAAGTAGTGTTTGATAAGTTGTCCATTCTTGCACAGTCTGAAGACATATCCAACAAGCTTCAGGTATCATCTGTGATTTTCAACTGTGTCAAGAAGAATGCAGATGAAAATCACATCCATGATAGGTAAACTTTATATACACGTTCCATAGTTACAGTATAAATGTTTTTATCTTGGCAGTGCCATTATCACTCTCATTTCACAAATGCTAAACTTTGATAGGCCATCATTATCGGCCGACCTGTTATGGGCTATGGAACAGAATAATAACAGAAGAGAATGTTTGGAAATAAAAGGCCAGGTGTGGAAGGCGGCGACTGGCGCTAGACCGAGCAAAGGGAGATAACTCCGAGCAGCGAAACCATGTGCTCTCCACTGTACAGCAGACGAGCTATATGCATTTGTGTCCACCCATGGAAACACGAGGGCTGGAATGGGCTCCCACTGTACAAGCAGGCAACCGAGCATACGAGCGAAACCTTATCAGGCCAGAGCCCGTCCAAACCTTGCCACACCTAACGGTATTTATTGATATAAAGCGATAATCAGCAACAACAACATGAACAACATTCATAAGGTTTTTACATTTTGCTGCTATGTACATGAAGGTGTGACAAGAGCGAGGGAAGGGAGGGTGGGTATTTTTTATGAAGGTGTATACTGGTGTACTGAAGCGGTTAAAGATGGCGATGTGAGTGTTTTTGAAATGACGTAATAAATATGACGTCACTTGAGAAACAAACAAAGACGATAACAAGGAGAAGAATTTGTTTGGCAACAAGGCCACGTGTTATGGTTGTGGTTATTTCGTATCACAAATTGGAGGGTGATAATTATTGCGGAGTCACCGAATGTATCATTATATTATGATTATAACTTAGAGTGATTATGTAAACTTGAATATGCTTGTGTATGAACAGATGAGTATGCGCCTATGTGTCCATGTGGCCGAAAGGGAATACACGATGTACACAGACTACTTGGATATGCCTGGAATTACATTAAGATTAGATGTATAAGTTAAGGTAGATTTATCAGGCGGGCCAATAACACCATTTAGCTAAATATTGCTAAATGACATTATGCATCCTCCTCCTGTTATGAATGTAACCAAATAGTCAATAAACAAAAGTCAGTGTTTGTTTTTAGCTACCTGACTGATATTATCAAGTTTCATTTACCACAAAGTTTGCTTATTTACGAACCGTCCCAATCTTGCTCACTCACTACTCCCTTCTTGGGGTGAAACTGCACATTGGTGCATCGATGCATCGTGATTTTTTTGTATCAATACAAGACGATATCGATGATGACATCCAGCATTTTTGTCAGTCAACTATCGCGAAATGTGTTGTAATTAGGGTTTCAAGTTCACTAATTAAACTAACCGCTGCAAAACATGTCTACAGCTATCTTTACCTTTTTATAGTCAAGACGTTTCCACATGATTTGACGTAAATATGCACATTGCAATACGTATTGTATCATGATCTTGCTGTTGTGTGTCACTGTACTCCCTTCACCTATGATAGTAACACATTTATTTGACTATTTTAACAGGCCTCTACACATATTTGGGCTTCATGACACTGATACACTTTTGCAAGTTCTAAAGGATCACAGAATCCATGGAAACCACGTTGTAGATGACCCTGTGGACTTCAGCAGCTTGAAAAAAGAAATAAAACCAAAAAGTGTTGAAGAAGAGTTCCACATTTTGTCATCAGTATCAAACTATCACTGGGACAATGACCAAAAAGCGAGCTACATGCAGTACTTTTCTACATACAATGAAGACACAAGGAAGTACCCTACCTCTTTAAGAAATAAAATCATATTTCACTTCTGAATTGGATGTCAAGAAAAGTATAGACAAAGTGTGAAGATGCTTTCTGCTCAACATGCTCAGGGAAACAGTGAAAACTGCACTCACTCATCATCGCTGTTTGACAACTTCTCAACACGTCTCATTGAAGGTGGCACTATTCTCTGGCAGTCTCATTCCTTTACAAAGGATGTGTTGATTATGAGTGACTATTGTCCTGAAAGTGGAAAGTTCAAGCCCCAGTCATACTGCAAAGTGACAATGCTTCATGAGGAGGAGGATACAACACATGTCCAGTGTTCTTGTTCTGTTTACAAGATGTCATGTTAATGAAAGTTACATTGAAAATGACAGCACAGAAGAAACATCTAGACACATCAGGTGTTACATGCATGCATGCCCGATTTGTGAAAGAGTATTTACTGCAAGATTATCACAATCTCTTCAATTCAGAATTTCAACCTGAATCTGACAAAGATAAAAAGTTAAGGGATTCAATGTTAGTGCAAAATCAGGAAATAGTGCTGGTTGCAGAATCTCCTCATGTAACCAAATATACAGTCAAAGGAAGAAATGAAAGTGTTGAATTTGTACATGTCAACAATAATACCTGGACTATTTCATGTCAATCAGGACTTTGTTCTGTTGGAAAATCTAAAACTGTAAAGAACTTAGAGGGATCCCAAAGGATCTGTCCACATTTATTGTCAATGAAAGAAAACCAACAACTCTGGATTCCTTCACATCAACTGAGAGCACTTCTACCCCGGTACATTCACTGAAAAGGTATGTTAAACCATGCAACAAAACCTTTGTTTGTATCTTATAATGAAAAGTACATGTAGGTATCAGGTCATGAGTTTTCCGCCTGTCCTGGCTTTGTTATCAGCAAAATCTGAATCAAAGTCACTTTAAGATGTAATACCTATACAAAGGGGTGGCTACTGGGTGTTATTTTCACTATTGTAGTTGTATTGTAATAGTAGCCCACACTATCATGACTATTGCAATAGTATTGTGATAGCAGTAAACCAACTTTAATGCTATAACTAATTGAAACTACCATATTCGACGTGATAAGCGCCCACGCCGATATTTTCTAAGATATTGGCTAGTGAACAATCCCAATTAGCACCCCTTCTGATTGATCAATGTACACAAGACTTATTTATTCACATATAATATGCACTCGTGTGTTATATGCACCGTAAATAATGGGGAATTAAATTCTGGAAAAATATATCTGTCGTACATAAACATTTCACGCTGTCAGCATGGTCAGCGTAAACCACGAAATTTATCTTTCAACTCTTCTTTTTTTTTCACCAAAATAATGTTCTAATAAGAGCCCCCTATTTCTAATTTTGAGAGTGCCTAGGGTGCTTATTACGTCGAATACGGTATTAATTTTTATGCATACTATTAACATTACCAAGGTTTCCTGTCGATATAGGGCAAATAATTGCAATAGTTTTATAGTTTGATATACCAGTACCGGTATTGTAAAATTACTATCGTAATTGGCTCATTATTTACTGATTGATAGATTTTTGTGGTTTGTTGTTAAATTCACATCTGATGCATCCATTCTTCTTAGTATTAATAAACATAATATGTCAAATACTGATAAATACTGTTCAGGAACATATGGTTGAAAAAAGGCACATTTCTTTTCACTCAGTCAAAATTGCTGATTTTATCCTTGGAATTGTTTCCTTTTAACATGTTCATAAAACTTTAGATCAGGTTTATATTTCTACACTTTTTGTTATTGCTAATGTTTGCACTTTCATCACCAGTCAAACTTCAATGTCGACACTGGCTTCTGGGACTTTGGATCACTGAGTAAACATATTCCAACTCCTCAGAGTTGCCCAAAATATAGGGAGTAAGTAGTATCTTTATCTTTAATCGCTCTGCTGTGTGAACTATTTGTGTATAGATTTCATATAGTCTGACAACAAAACACTGCAATGGAACTATCTAAATTCAAATGTAAGCTATTGAAGTCAATGCTTATTACTCATGTTTCCTAACATTAAAACATGTTAAGTGCACATTGTTTCCTCCACTGCTCTTTGTTAAAATGTTCCGTATAATATTGTATTTTAAGGGATTAATTAGGACATATCTTGTTGTATTTCAGAAATATCCACTTGCATGAAAAATGGTGCTTTCAGCACCAAACAGATGAATCTGGTTTTGTCAGTATTATCTTGCTTTGTCCTGCACTACCAGAAAACTGTTCATGTGGGGTATGTATGAATTACCAAGCACAGTATGTCCAGTTTGCTTTGTCGCTGATAGCCATAGGGACTGGAGGGATTTATCCACACCTGCTCATATTGACTTGAATGCCATATATGTATAATGTTATGATGGATCATAAATTAAGTAATTTTAGAAAAATGCTAATTTTTAACCAAACGATTAAATAAATCCTAATTTGCCTGCCAGAGGCACATGGTTAAGAATCAGCTTAAAAAACTACCCGACAGTTGCAGGTCATTTTGACTTTTTGTAACCTTATCAAACAGAACTTTGTTACCAAAAAGTCACTCTGACAGCCTTTGCTTTCAGTTCATGTCTGATGTTGTCCAATCACAAGATGTTGGCATACCGTATTCGACGTAATAAGCGCCCGGGGCGCTCTCAAAATTAGAAATAGGGGGCTCTTATTAGAATATTATTTTGATGGGAAAAAACATAGTTGAAAGATAAATTTCGTTGTTTATGCTGACAGCGTGAAATGTTTATGTACGACAGATATATTTTTCCAGATTTTAATTGCCCATAAATAAGGGTGCATATAACATGTGTGTGCGTATTATACCGAATAAATAAGTCTTGTGTACATTGATCAATCGGAAGGGATGCAAATTGGGCTTGTTCACTAGCCAATATATCAGCAAATATCGCCGTGGGCGCTTATTAGAGCGGGGCGCTTATTACGTCGAATACGGTATATATATTTTAGATCCATTTACAAGATTAAGGATGACTGGAAGAATGTATACTGTAGGGGTCAGATAATGCTCAAAATGTACTCAGGACAATCCATGAATTTACAGGTCCAATTCATATGTTACCACTGGTCCTTGTTGCTTTTTCAATCATGCACCAAGCTTTAATCTTTTTTCAGTGCACCTTCCATGATGTACAAACACCAGATGGCATTAACCTACTACAGCAGCACAGCACGAAAACAACTTTACACCCGACTAGCCCCTATTATGGCAACTGTTTGCTGTGTCATACAGAGGAAGAGGACAGTATTCATTTTTGGAGGAAGAAACCACCATTGTTGATGAACTGTCATGACTTTTTGTATAGAATTACAAGCTTTTCAAGTGACAGTGTCAAATTCACTGGTTACTGCAAAGAAATGGATCGTATGTACAAGTCAAGACACAATGAATCCAGTTTTATGTCTCAGAGTACATTTAACAACTGTTTTTTTCTCCTGGGCAGCTAATATGAAGATTGACTTCAGGAAGATTGGAGATCCATTCTGTAAATCTTCCGAAGTACTTGCATGTGATGGAACCAGTCAGTTTTAGAGATGTCAAACTTATTCGGCCCGAAATACATAATCTTTTGCAGAGTTCTTACACATCACAATTTGCAGCTGAAATACATGTACATTATTTCATAGTGTACCTTGCAGACTATGCAAAGAACTTGCTTACACATTTACCTGCTTACCAGGATGCACATAGCATCCCTAAATCTTACAATCCAGAAAGTGGCGTGGCATATCGTTTTACCGAAAGTGGAGAACAGGTTAGAAAACTCCCTATCTACAACATAAACAAGATCAGCAAAACTAAAATTTATGATGACCTACCAGCAGCAGATGAAAGATGTAACAAAGACTTCCCTAGAGTCAGCACAAGTGGACACAGTAGTTTGTTTTTCTGGTTTTTACCCATTCATGGTCATTGTCTTGGGTTCCACATAATTCCTGAAAGCGAAGGCAGAAAAGATCCATTTGCTTCCATGTTCAGGTACCTGCCTGAACCACTGACACATGTACTTTATGACTTTGCTTGTTCACTTTCTGAATACTGCTTGAATAGAGAACCTTCATTCTTTAAAGACACTTGATTCTTCCATGATTATTTCCATGGTTGTACGCATGTATGTGGCGACGCTTTCAAGTCTTCAGTGTTTGAAAATGTGGGTGTCAACACGGAAATCTGTGAGCAGTTCAATTCGTTCCTTACAAAATATCAAAGCAACTTCAACTCATTTGAGCCAGAGCAAGTTTTGTTTTCTTCTCCTTCTGGAGCAATCAAAATGGAATTAGAGAAAAACCGAAATGTTTTATCAACGATTGCAAGTTGCTTTAGATGGTTCAAAGTAAAATGTGATGAATAGTACTCACTAACATCAATGTTGCATGATACCGGTGATGTAGGACTGGTTTTAGGACTGTATATTAACGTCGTTCAAGCCCAACTAGGTTACTCAGTGCATGAGAGGTTTTTCTAGGTACTCAGATGTTTCAAATCAAACTGACACTTTGTTCTGTAATACTCTGCTGTAGATATATGATATTTTTCCAGTTATATCTATGTTGTCATACTGCTTTCCTCAAACTTTTTACATTTATGGTTTATTTTGTTGTAGTTTGAACAGTGAAATGAGTCATACATAGATTTGTTTATTTGCTTTAATGTTAGTCTTAATAAAAAGATAAAACTTACAAAATGTGTTTATTTATTTTGTTGAGAACACATATTACCTATCTGTGTAACAAAAGTATTCATTCAACAATAATACCACCAGTCATATACTAAAGAATCTTGCAACAATACAGCACACAAACAACTTCAAACAAGTAAAAAGTAATTGAGTTATTACATGATACTCAATGAATATATTAAAAAATGCTTCTTAACAAAGCTAATTATAGGCACATGCGCGTATGGTGTTATGTCATACATGATATTAACCCCATTTGAATACTGTAGACGTTATGGTTCGCCAACATACCGCATCAGGAAGAGCTAGGGTTAGGTTATATATGTCAAGTCTGATGCCGCCACAGATATGTAACCGCCCTATTTGGGTTAAGGTTTCTACCCAATATATGCCTGACAGTGATTTACAACTGGGTTATTCCTAAATACAGACGCTGATGTTCTCGTATCTCAACATAAACGTGAATCATGAGGTGCTAGGGTGAGGTTTTCTACCCAATATATGTCCGGCACTGATGTAAAACTGGATTATTCTTGAATCAGGCGCAGATGTTTTCGTATCTCAACAGAAACATGAATGGTAAGGTGCTAGGGTTAGGGTTTCTACCCATTATATGTCCGACAGTGATGTAAAAGTGGGTTATTCCTGATACAGACGATGATGTTATGAAATCTCAACAGAAACATAAATGATAAGGTGCTAGGGTAAAGGTTTCTACACAATATATGTCCGACAGTGATGTAAAACTCGATTATCCTTGAATCAGACGCAGATGTCACGAAATTTCAACAGAAACATGAATGATAAGGTGCTAGGGTTAGGGTTTCTCCCAATATATGTCCGGCACTGATGTAAAACTGGATTATTCTTGAATCAGACGCAGATGTCACGAAATCTCAACAGAAACATAAATGATAAGGTGCTAGGGTTAGGGTTTCTACTCAATATATGTCCGACAGTGATGTAAAAGTGGATTATTCTTGAATCAGGCGCAGATGTTTTCGTATCTCAACAGAAACACGAATTATAAGGTGCTAGGGTTAGGGTTTCTACTCAATATATGTCCGACAGTGATGTAAAAGTGGGTTATTCCTGATACAGACGCACATGTTATGAAATCTCAACAGAAACATGAATGGTAAGGTTCTAGGGTTAGGGTTTCTACCCAGTATATGCCCGACAGTGATGTAAAAGTGGGTTATTCCTGATACAGACGCTGATGTTATGAAATTTCAACAGAAACATAAATGATAAGGTGCTAGGGTTAAGGTTTCTACACAATATATGTCCGACAGTGATATAAAACTGGATTATCCTTGAATCAGGCGCAGATGTCACGAAATCTCAACAGAAACATGAATGATAAGGTTCTAGGGTTAAGGTTGCTACTCAATATATGTCCGACAGTGATGTAAAACTGGGTTATTCACGATACAGACGCTGCTATCACGAAATCTCAACATAAACACGAATGATAAGGTGCTAGGGTTAGGGTATCTACCAAATATATGTCCGACAGTGATGTAAAACTGGGTTTTTCCCGATACAGACGCTGCTATCACGAAATCTCAACAGAAACATGAATGATAAGGTGCTTGGGTTAGGGTTTCTACCCATTATATGTCCGACAGTGATGTAAAAGTGGGTTATTCCTGATACAGACGCTGATGTTATGAAATCTCAGCAGAAACATAAATGATAAGGTGCTAGGGTTAAGGTTTCTACACAATATATGTCCGACAGTGATGTAAAACTGGATTATCCTTGAATCAGGCGCAGATGTCACGAAATCTCAACAGAAACATAAATGATAAGGTTCTAGGGTTAGGGTTTCTACTCAATATATGTCCGACAGTGATGTAAAAGTGGATTATTCTTGAATCAGGCGCAGATGTTTTCGTATCTCAACAGAAACATGAATGATCAGGTGCTAGGGTTAGGGTTTCTACTCAGTATATGCCCGACAGTGATGTAAAACTGGATTATCCTTGAATCAGACGCAGATGTCACGAAATCTCAACAGAAACATGAATGATAAGGTGCTAGGGTTAGGGTCTCTACCCATTATATGTCCGACAGTGATGTAAAAGTGGGTTATTCCTGATACAGACGCTGATGTTATGAAATCTCAACAGAAACATAAATGATAAGGTGCTAGGGTTAAGGTTTCTACACAATATATGTCCGACAGTGATGTAAAACTGGATTATCCTTGAATCAGGCGCAGATGTCACGAAATCTCAACAGAAACATGAATGATAAGGTTCTAGGGTTAGGGTTTCTACTCAATATATGTCCGACAGTGATGTAAAACTGGATTATTCTTGAACCAGGCGCAGATGTTTTCGTATCTCAACAGAAACATGAATGATCAGGTGCTAGGGTTAGGGTTTCTACTCAGTATATGCCCGACAGTGATGTAAAACTGGATTATCCTTGAATCAGGCGCAGATGTCACGAAATCTCAACAGAAACATGAATGATAAGGTTCTAGGGTTAGGGTTTCTACTCAATATATGTCCGACAGTGATGTAAAACTGGATTATTCTTGAACCAGGCGCAGATGTTTTCGTATCTCAACAGAAACATGAATGATCAGGTGCTAGGGTTAGGGTTTCTACTCAGTATATGCCCGACAGTGATGTAAAACTGGATTATCCTTGAATCAGGCGCAGATGTCACGAAATCTCAACAGAAACATGAATGATAAGGTTCTAGGGTTAGGGTTTCTACTCAATATATGTCCGACAGTGATGTAAAACTGGATTATTCTTGAACCAGGCGCAGATGTTTTCGTATCTCAGCAGAAACATGAATGATCAGGTGCTAGGGTTAGGGTTTATACTCAATACATGTCCGACAGTGATGTAAAACTGGATTATTCTTGAATCAGGCGCAGATGTTTTCGTATCTCAACAGAAACATGAATGGTAAGGTGCTAGGGTTAGGGTTTCTACCCATTATATGTCCGACAGTGATGTAAAAGTGAGTTATTCCTGATACAGACGATGATGTTATGAAATCTCAACAGAAACATAAATGATAAGGTGCTAGGGTTAGGGCTTCTACTCAATATATGTCCGACAGTGATGTAAAAGTGGGTTATTCCTGATACAGACGCACATGTTATGAAATCTCAACAGAAACATGAATGGTAAGGTGCTAGGGTTAGGGTTTCTACCCATTATATGTCCGACAGTGATGTAAAAGTGGGTTATTCCCGATACAGACGCTGATGTTATGAAATCTCAACAGAAACATAAATGATCAGGTGCTAGGGTTAAGGTTTCTACACAATATATGCCCGACAGTGATGTAAAACTGGATTATCCTTGAATCAGACGCAGATGTCACGAAATCTTAACAGAAACATAAATGATAAGGTGCTAGGATTAGGGTTTCTACTCAATATATGTCCGACAGTGATGTAAAACTGGATTATTCTTGAATCAGGCGCAGATGTTTTCGTATCTCAACAGAAACATGAATGGTAAGGTGCTAGGGTTAGGGTTTCTACCCATTATATGTCCGACAGTGATGTAAAAGTGGGTTATTCCCGATACAGACGCTGATGTTATGAAATCTCAACAGAAACATAAATGATAAGGTGCTAGGGTTAAGGTTTCTACACAATATATGTCCGACAGTGATGTAAAACTGGATTATCCTTGAATCAGGCGCAGATGTACCAAAATCTCAACAGAAACATGAATCATGAGGTGCTAGGGTTAGGGTTTCTACCAGATGCATGTCCGACAGTGATGTAAAACTGGATTTTTCTGGAATCAGACACAGCTGTTGCGGTATCTCAAAAGAACCCTCAGAAGAATCGTAAGGTTCTAAGGTTAGTGTTCCTTCCCAATATATGTCTAATTGTGATATAAAACTGGGTCATTCCTGATACAGACGCAGGTGTTACTGTATCTCAAGGTGCTAGGGTTACCCAATACATGCTGAAAAGTGACAAGAAACTGCTTTCTTAGCCACACAGACCCTACTTATTAATTTCTGTCTTTATGGTACTGCAATTATGCCAAAGTAGAGTGAGAGAAGCTTGGGTGCACAGGTGGCCCACTTGTCATGGTTGATGGAACTTGATGTGCAGTTAGTGCCAGGATGTCCTGGTCATGGGTTGAAATCCAGAATACGACCCTTCGTATCAGCACCACAATACCTCATGTGGTTGCATAAATTTGTGTCTCCCTTACAAATCACACTGCCACATGTCCATCTGTTCAGCTTTAGGTCACTATTCTCCAAACCAGTGATCAGAATGGATCCTCACATAACCAATCGACACAACTCTGCAGTGTTGAAGCATTTTAGACCATTAGGCCAACTTTTCTCTCAAACAGCCAAACAGCATAAAACATCCACACTATGGTGACGGAAACACAACTAGTATCACATGTATTTCAATACTTTATTCTATTGCAGAAATCCATTTTTTAATACTATATATAAATCAGTAGTGAAAACAAAAAACTTCTGAATAACATATTTGTGAAACTTAAAGATGGTGTCAGTCATCTTCAACTTGCTGAATATGAAAATTATTAACATTTGGTCATGACAATATTAGTGCTGGAATCAAGAGCGCAGCGTCCAGTTCATGACTTCATTAAAGCGGATATCTGAAACCACAAAAAAACAAAACTGAACGAGTTAAATGTATAATTTAAACATACAGATTATTATTTTATTCTTCTTATCTATAAGGCTACAATATTTGCCAAAGATAGGTGAATGAATTTGGTAATGATAGCCCATAGGCTGGTTAAAAATAGTGCTACAACAGTGTAGCTCACCTGGACATGTAGTCAACACTTTATAATGACAAAAGAGACAACCACTATACAGAGACTATCATTGCTACCCTGCATATATATATTTTTTATATTTTCCATATAAATACTGAGGACTAAAAACACTAAAATATCTGAACAAATCATGCTGTCATCTTGAGGAGAAACACACACGGCACAAATTCAGCTCCCTCAGTCTGGCAAATTTAGAGAAGTTTACATTGCCAAATATGCATTTTGATAGAATTTAAAAGCATGGTCAAAGCAAGGTCAAAATTATGAATTATGAAAAAACAGAAATATTTTTTGAATCCCATAACATACACAAATATGCATTTTGATAGAATTTAAAAGCATGGTTAAAGCAAGGTCAAAATTGATTGTTTTACCGTGTCAGGTGGTTTGACAATCTGCATCGAGGCGAGGGTCATTTCAACTTTATTTGCAGAAATTATTAAACTTTATTCAAGGAAAAGAGATACAAATCATGTTTATGTATGGAAATAGTTATTGGAACAGTTATTTAGGACGAAATGCGAAGTTTTATTGTCAAATGCTGGGCTGGCTATCGGACGCCGGTTGACATCGCCAGTGGAAAAAAATGTGAGATCTTCGACTCCGTGTATAAGACGACCCCCCTTCTTAGCCCCCTTATTTTAGGTACGAAAAACTCGCCTTATACACAGCGATATACGGTATGAAAAATCAGAAATATTTTTTTACTCCCAAATTTCATTAGAACTTGTACAAAACTGACTGAATAATGGCAATAAGAAGTTTCAGCTACCAGTGTAGTTTAAGTGCAAAGATCATACTGGAATTTGGATTTGAACGTCTTGAACAAATTCTGATGTGATCAACAAATGCGAAGTTTCAGCTTCAGTGGTCCAGTAGTTTCTGAGGAGGTGCTCACAACAGATAACTCATCATTGTAGATTGACATGCAGACGATATCTCGAACCTGGACATTAAAATACTGTAAAATTTGCATTTAATCTCAAACCTCAAATGAAATATTTCAAATATTTTACATTCACACATTTCTCTGCCTATTGATACAACAATTAGTGAAAGCACACTTTCAAGATTTATTATCTGGCATTATGCTTAGCAACTGCTACCCTTTTGATCATTCCAACCCGATAAGTACATAGAAAGTTGCACGATCAAAAACATAAGTACAAATATTTGAAGGCAAGTGTTTTAAGAAGCACATAGTATTTCAAATAAAAATATGACTAAACTTAATCAAATAGATTGCAAACATATGTCCAAAGTCTAGATGTATACAATGAACACTCTTCATGACCATCTGTGCATCCTTACAACAGGACTAACTTGCATAAATTGCATATACCAGAATCATGGAAAATAACAATCTAGAAAACTAGAAAATTATTTTACAGAATTTGTATATAAACAGTTGCTTAAGTGATCTGACTAAGCCTGTAAAAGGCGCTAGAATCTTTTATGATAAATTAATATCAAATGAAAATAATCTTAAAGTTTGTAATAAATGGCAACCAATTTTTCACTGTGATTTTAATTGGAAAACGATATTTACTGTTTATAGATATAAACTGAAGGATGTAAAACTTTTAGATTTTCAATACAGATTTCTACATGGAATTATCTACACAAATAAGGAACTATTAACAATGAATCTTGTAGACAACTGTGTTTGTAACTTTTGTAATGCTGTCAATGAGGACGTCAGCCATGTCTTTTGGGAATGTAATGAAACTAAACAATTTTGGAATGATCTCGAACTTTGCCTTAACAATTATCTTCCACAAAAAATTAAATTGACAAAATATCTTATTTGGTTTGGTTCTAACTACTCTAATACTTTATTCAATCATATAGTTTTATTGGGAAAAAGGCATATTCATGTAAGTGGAATTAAAGGAACCAAATCGAAATTAGATATACTTTTAAAATTGTTTAAAAACATATATTCAATCGAGAAATTTATTGCTATAAAAAAGGATGACAAAAGTAACTTTAACAAAAAATGGTTACCTTTATTCTCAGCATTTGATTCATAGCTCTCTGTTGATACATGATATGTTTGAGTCTGACTGTGTGTTGCAACCATTTTGGTTTGAAATAGGACAATGTTTGTTTTCAACCCTTTTATATTCTAAAGAGTGTATTGTGCCATTCTATGCAATCCGAAATATGTTTTTGACGGAATACTGTATTAATCTACAACTCTGGGAACAATAAAAACATTTATAAAAATAAAAAACTTGCATAAATTCAGAGCAGAATTGTTGATATGCTTAAAAATGTGTTGTTGTTTTTTTTTGGGGGGGGGGGGGGGGGGGAAGAAAGGAGAAGTATTTAAATTTATGTGACCCATATATTTTACCTGAAGTTTAACCCAATCTGTGGTATCATGAAGGGTGTTTTAGCAAGGGATGACTGTATTTATGTTTATCTTCCAACATTACAAAAAGAACCAACATCAGATATTTCAAATCCTTATCTTGAACAAATATACAGTTTGGAATCCCAATAAAATTCACATTTCTAGAACTGATTTGCCGCTCTGATAAATGGTACTTATGTGGCTGTTTTCTCAAAGTCATTTTTATTATAACACTTAGATAAATTCATAACATTTAATACACTCCTGTGTCACCATTTACAGTGTTGATATTTTGTCCAATTCATTCATCACTCCAATTTACCGGTATATGCATAAAACCAAAAGGACTAAACGAAAATGCATTAAATGTAGATAAGGGGGCACATGTGAAGAACAAAAGTAACAGCAGTTACAAAAATCATACTATGCCCCAAAGTACAATGTAATATAATTTAGCATCATTGACAAATTCAATATGGTTGACATGGCGGCCATATTTAGAATCTGATCCGATTTCAGTGATTGTCTTAGTTTTATTAAACACAGCAGTCCGCCATATATATTTTATCAGCTATATGAAGATAACCTGGAAATAATTCAGTCTGGCCTGGAAAAACCAGTGATATTATCACTGTCATCTTGTTACAATAACAAGCAACTAACCAAGTCACCGAACCTGACCACCCAATCACTTAACTCGTCCCTTATAACAAGGATAGGTTGCAGTGGACCTATTCTAACACAGAATCACCAAGGTGGACTGATTTTTGTGAACATTAATCTAGAGACACCACGGCTGGGATTGTCAGAAAAGTAAAAGTTTTTAACAACTGAAGGTTAATACAAACAAACATTAGCTGACTTCAGCGCTTGGTACCTGAACATAACACATCTACAGACTGAATTTGGTTAAAATATATCAACAAAAGTGTGTTGGTATATTTGTAGCCATGTTATTTTCGACCACCTTAAAAGAAGATAAATTTGAAAGTGACCATTGAACATGACATGTCTTTACACACATGACCATTCTATTTTATGTTGTAATTTACATTTCATGTCCATTATTCATGTGTTCAATAATTTTCAGATGACTTTGGACCCCACAACCCCTCAATACCTGAAAAGTTCATGGATATCAAACCTGAACTGTGTTCAGATAACAGCAGTTATGTGGGTGATTTCTGACCCGCTGACTTTTCCACATAATTTTTTTAACCAGATGTTATTCTTCCACCTTATTTGATTTGCAGATTTCCATGTCAGACAAAGATCAAGCGGTGTCATAGGATTCCTTTTCACTTGATCAGGAGGGATGCTATTGTGTGCCAACTGAAATAAAAAATATGACAAAAATAACAATGATAATCAATGCTACTCCATAGTCATACAGTCATTGGGGCCTTGGTCTATAATTCAGGGTCTTACCACCTGCACAAGGCGCAACGAAGTGAACTAAGCAGGTTGCACCACCAAAATATTGGCTGCACTAGTTAAGCATAAATTGAAACACTTTATTTTCAGTTACTTTGAATATTAAATAAATTCAAAGAAAAAAAACCCCTTGAGAATGTGCTCCAGAATTTATTTTGTGTGAATCTGTACATGCCTTTTCATATCATGATATCAAGTAAACAACCTTAAACAGAAGTCTCAAAGTGTCTGTTGTGATTGTAACCTCATGAGTGACTGTTCTAGTGGTAATTGTGAAGAGTCCTGCAAGTTCAATGCATTCAGACCACCTGTGTATTTCACTACTTTCATGAACTTTTGTTTCCTGGATTCGAAAAGACTTGCAGCCAGTTCTAAAAGAATTCAGTTTTCCACTTATGGCTGGAAATGTTACCTGCACTGGGTGCGACCTAACCTCACCTAAAAGTTACCGACACCTGGGCCTAGTTGCACAGAACAATCTTAGTTACAATCAATCTTAGGCGGCTACAATCAATTTTACAATCACCATACAATTGTCCTATGCCACTTTCACAAACCCATCTTAGCACGAATGTAAGACGGCTTATCTAAGATTGAAATCTTCAACAGTGGAAGTACGAATATCTTAAACTCGACTCCTGTCTACAGTTGTCTGCAAACGCGCATAGCTCGCTGCGTATACAATAAGTGGAACTGTTCACGACACACAACACATACCTCCCCCCATCACACCTTGCACTGTTTCAAGAAAGGTGCCAATTATTTGAAGGAAACGATTACTATAATGATGGCATTAATTTTTGTCAGCATTAATACTGTCATGATTTAGGAATTGTTTTCTGTTGCAACTAGAGAAATACCTACTCATGATTTTTTATCAAAATTATTGAAATACGAATAAATATGTTATTTAGTGACACAATCATTATGAAAATTAAAAGAAATAATACTAAAAATATTTCCTAATAACATAACACAGGTGAGCTTTTTGTAAAATCCGAAATATATCCTTCATGCTTTCATTTCGCTGCTATAACAAAGGATGTTATGACTACCTTTTCAAAACACAGAAACACACAGGTTTTCAAGAATGAATGGATGAGAAATAATGATAATGAATAATGTTTCGAGAAAGTAGTTGTCTAATATATATTCACTTGGTATTAATTATATTGATAATTATTTTCCAAAGGTGTGAAGTTTACTTTTGCTATTTCAAATGTCTCATCATGTGTTTTTGCTTGTTTAATGAATACTTTTCTTTTCTTTTTAATTCAGATATTAAATTCGCTCGTCCCCTGCCAAATAGATTTTAGATTTAAACATGTATGATTTTGCACTTCAACTTATATTCATATGTAGATTAATTTAATGATAAACTAAAGACAAAATAACTGACACAAATGTGACCCAAAAGAAATACAGGGGCAGCAACATTATACACTGGGCAAGGTAGATTCTATGCTACATGCTTATACAAACGGAAACCACAGAGGCAGAATATTTATGTGAATAAATGCGTATACCGCATTCGACGTAATAAGCGCCCCGATCTAATAAGCGCCCATGGGGCTATTTGCTAATATATTGGCTAGTGAACAATCCCAATCAGCACCCCTTCCGATTGATGAATGTACACAAGACTTATTTATTTGTGTAAAATACGAACTCATGTGTTATATCACCCTTAATTATGGGCAATTAAATTCTTGAAAAATATATCTGTCGTATGTAAACATTTCAGGCTGTTAGCATAAACCACAAAATTTACGATCTTTCAACTCAAAATAATATTCTAATAAGCGCCCCCTATTTCTAATTTTGAGAGCGCCCTGGGCGCTTATTATGTTGAATACGGTATGAATTGGACTTGATCACATGTGTCTAATGGTACTCTCTCTGATTGGGTGCTGCCTAACTTTCTTCTTTCTAACATGTCAGTCACTGGATACAATAGATCATATTTGAAGATATTGATGAATTTCAAAACAATTGTCATACACACTGGTATACCATAATGACATTATAGATGGAAATAAAACCCTTCTACGGAAATTTAATATCATCTAACAGTTCTGGAATAGCTAAATATGCAAACAAAAGAATCGACATGTTTTTACAGACGACTTACTGTACAATAACTTAAATGTCTGAGTAGTGGAAGAAAACAACATTTTAAACATATCTGCCATGTTCGTCATGCTCAAAATCAGATAAAAATTTTGAATGCATTTCTGGTGACTTTATTCCTGGGACCACACAAAAAATGACAGCTTCATAACAATTGTAGGTTATTTAAGAAATGTAAAAATAAAACATCACTGGATTAAAGGATTACATTAAGGTTAAAGTTCATAAATGCGCAAGTTATTGAAATACACAAAACAGAACCTCGTGCAATATTGTCACCATATATTGAATTACATGAGCAGTCTGTGCCTAAAAATGATGGGTCAACTAGTCCGAACAGGGTTTTAGTGTTGTCATATTGACTATTATTAATTGGACTTACTACATCGAGCACAATATTACTAGACTTGCGTTTCAAATTTGGGGTCTTTTCAGGAAGAATTGCTCAAGCAAAACATGTTACAGTGGTGCCTCGTTTATACGGACACTTGCATCATGTCAGTATATGTTGACAGTATAAAGAATTAGTACATGCATTATACTATACTTTAAAGTAACAGACAACAGGCTATCGCTTGCTACTTCAATTCTGAAATGAAAAGACGTTGATACTTCATTGTGTATCAAGTGCAGAGTCTGGTGAGTCCCATTATCAAGTAAAGAGTTAGAATATAACATAGCAGTTGCCTTAATAGTCTATACAGAGCTCCAGAAAAGTTGCGTATCTGCGTGAAATAGGCATCAGAAATGCAGAAATACACAGTAAAATATAATCCAAGCGTATCAAATACGCAACGAACATTACAGATACACTACAAAAATAAAACTTGTGCGTATCATCAAAATATTGCGAAGTAACCCTGCGTATTCGATTAGCAAATCAGCAACTTATTTTGAAATTATAAACGGGCATTCCGTCAACCTTGCCAAACTCCACGATGACAGTTACATCATGATCATTTGCCATCACACTTTCTTGTGGAAGTATCGTGGTATTTTTGAGTCCTATAAAGCTCTCGAACCCACACGACACCAGTTTGCAGGGACTAAATGAATAGTGTTTTTAAATATTTAACTTAAATACCCACATGTGTAAAAACTAGTGGGTAACAGAAATTTGAATACCCAGATAGAATTACTGATACCCAATGATTTTAAAATGCATGGGTAAAATACCCACAACACCAAAAGCTTATCAGGAGCTCTGTCTATAGCAATTTGTTATCTGCAAATATAATAAAAAATATTTATTTAATTGGTTAGGAATTCCACAGAGAGTAGATAAGTACGTAAAACATAATTTTCACAGTATGATTAGAGAAACAAGACAATATATTTAAGATAAGAAATTAAATTTGTCCCCAGTTTTAAGAGGCTTGGGTAAACCCTGTAGTGACCAGGCTCCATGGTCTAGTGCACAACATTTACAATGTAGGTCTAAACTAAACAGGTAGGCACCTTGCACAAACATAACTTGAGAAAGACAGAGACGAGTTCAACAAAAAATACCACAACAAAGTAGTGCACATTTAGTTCTGTCGTGAGGAACATACTGATTTTACAACCAAAGTTGACACTTTCTAGCAAACTTTTTACAAACATACATAACCTGAAGATACCGTATTAATTGTGTTATGACAAGCATGTGCAGATAGTTGTACGAATCTTGGTTTGTCTCTTACAAACTGATACAAACAGTCTGTATTCATAATAATCGATAAAAATAGCACATTATAATACTAGGGTATAAGATTATTTAAAAAATTGAACTTTTATCTTTCTTTGTTTGTTGTTTAATGCTGTACTAAGCAATATTCGTGCTTTGACAGCTGCCTGTAAACAATGAAATCTGGACCTGACAATCCAGTAATTGACATCATGAGCATCAATCCATCCAAAAGGGATACGATGACATGCATTAACAAAGTCTGTGAGCCTGACCCCTCAATCGCGTTAGTCGCCTCTTATGACAAGGATAGTCACCTCTTAAAGCAAGAATGGTTTGCTGAAGACCTATTCTGACCCTGATCTTCACTGGTAACTTGGTAAGTTTGTATAACTAAACATGTGGCACTTGCTGCCAAGACAATGAATGACAAGAACTACAGTAACAATATTCCCTCTATTTGGGTACAACACAAATTGACTAAAACACTGAGAAATATGCACATTTGCTCTTAGTCCTTATTAAAGTGTGCTGGTACTGTACAGACAAATCTTATTTTGGAATGTATCAGAAATAACAGGAAAATGACAAGGACTAATGCAGGCCAGTAGACAAAATGAAAAGGAAAATATACAATATATAAAACACTGCCAAACAGATCACTATTTAAAAACTACACTATGTTGTTTTTGTGTGTACAATGACATTATAATTGGGAATTCAATTATACTTACAAAAACAGGATGTTGCCAGCAGTGCACACTACTGTTCATGATAAGGTATTCTCAGTTCTGTCCATTGCTCATAGACAGATGTAGTGTCTGCTACTGTCAACAAAAACATTCAAACATTACACCCTACACTAAACTGTATGAGTTAAATGGAGATACATTCATCAATAAAATGGTATTTTGTCTTCAGACATTCAGTTACCAGCGGATTACAGTTAGTTAGATGCTGTAGGCCTAGTCATAATCTTATAACAACACAATTATTCAGGTATAAATGGATAAATTTGAGTTTGTTGACAGAAGTTGCAAAGAAACAATACAGATGTAGACCAGTGTAATTAACTAACAGTTAGGGAATGTTGATCATGACTTGTTATAAAGTCTATCAGCCTCTCTGCTATCAACAAACATTTACAAAACAATCACTTTCACCAGCCCTTTGAGAATACCAGGGTCACGTGATGGTGTTTTGGAGCATTTTCAGTTGTTTGGGACTTCAGAGCTTGAATAAATTTTCTGCCTCAGATGCATACTGCTGAAATGTAAACGAAATACGATATATATATATTATGTAAGCAGTAATAACTAGTAATTACTACCAGTTGGACAAATAGAAACGAGCGAGTATGAAAAGGAACGTGACCCAATCGTCTTTGGACGCAAGTGATTCACCTTAAAACATGGGCGCTTGATACCAATACAATATACGATAGGTAGTAGGCCATACCTTAGCGGTAAATCACTCTTTCTTTTAGAATAAACGGCATTTATGATGCGTGACTTTGCTTGTGCACGTCAACGTTGTTTCTAGGGACGCAAAGAATGCAAGGCTACCTGAAGAAAACATACACGACATTACGTTCCCATTTGTGGAAATGGCAGGAATATTGAAGAGTATTTATTGTTGTGAAAACACCCACGTTTGTTGTGCTCTATTTAGAGAACTAACTAGCCTAAACTAGGCCTAAGTTGAGTGGAACAGATGACGTGACCTTACACAAAATGGTGGTGGATGATGATGCATGACGAGGTCATGTGACCAGCTGGTGATGTAATGATCAATGGTTACCGTATAATTTTCTTCATGATAATGTAGATTCTATTTGTAATTATTTAACAACCACAGTATATTTCAAGTGCTACTTCTACATCTAGAAAGATAGCTGGTTACAGGCTGAAGTTGCTCTGCGGTAATCTTTTCATTTTTCTGTTGAGACAGCCCGGCTTGCATATCGTCTATGTAGACTCGTTGACCAATGAAAATCAAAGACATGCTCCTTTGCCGTTAGCTAGTAGTAGCAGTAAATGTTAGTCTCCAGAGACGAAGTGACCGTCTTTGTACCTACTAGTAACAGCTCACAGTTGCTAACAAATTTGTGCTAGAAGTAGGTCATATTTCCTGGATCGGTGACGCTGATCACTGTGTCGGATTAACGAGACTTTTAATGAGTGATTTCAGTAATTCGTTGCAAATTAGGTGTTGGAGTCAGAGTGCGAGACTGTCGGATTGAGGGGCTAAATAGCATTGATTAAATCGGTTCCTATCATTAGTGTCGGATAAAGCTGTTTGTTGGATTAACGAGTGTCGGATTAATGAGATTTGACTGTACTTAACAAGAGCCAAGAATATCACTTTGTTGTTTTTGTAAGACAAAAAAAAAGAACTCTAAACATAACATCACACTTTTGCAAGATGTCGGAGATAAGTGATTGTGAGCAATTCCGAGAAGGATCCAGGCCAAGCTCAGGGAGGATAACTGGATCAATTTATCTAATCTGACACGCAAAAAGAAGTGGACAGTACACACAATGCAGAAGCATCTTGCTACGGATTAATGATTCTGTTTCTTGATGTGTATCTCTTTCCATGTCTTGCTATATCAAATATGCAGATAATTAGAAGTCTGCTGCAAGATACCAGGGCCCGACTGTACTTTCAGTATCATTCAGTATTATAAATATTTCTTTTATTGTCGTTCGTTATATAACTTGCATGAATAATTGAACATGATGTTGACAAATTATGAAAGATGATTATCAAGGCAAATTTTATCATGAGCAAAAATATGGTAGATCTACATATTCTTGAAACACCAAATACATAATTAAGAAATAAAATTAGGACAATGACTGTTTCAAATGAGACGCAACAAGCATACTCAACGAGTTATCAACATGCAGAATGTGCAAACATATTTTGAATGAAATATGCCTTACTGTACTTCACTTTGCACATGATTTGGACTGAATCAATTCCAGTATGTTAATACAAATATAAATTAGTGTACGGCTACAAATTCCTTGGCGATTTATGAGATCGGACGGGCAAAATTAGCTAAATTAGTATGCCTGATTGCCGCGGGTGGACGGCGACACGTGGGCACAGCACGTGGGCTACAGTAAATCTGTAGACATGGTGAAATGAGATTAACAATGAGATTGAGGATACTATTATGCGATTTAATAAATCAAAACTAAAAACAGTTAGGCAACAATAAGAAGAGCATCATAGTGCATAGCCAAACAATATGTATAAAACGCCTTACGCTTGGACTGACGGAGCGCTGCTGGACGAGAAAGGAGAGGTGAAGGTCATGCCCAAGCGGCCCGGATTTGTTTCGAATGATGTTTTTTTTATATTGGCAACTCTTGAAAGAATACGTAACAGTTCATTCCAACTTTACAAAATTTAATTGTATATGAATACATGTTGATGTTTTTTATGTAGTATTTCTAAACTGTAGCGATGGAATTGCACGTCGATGTTAATATGGTTACAGGCTGCATAGGCTCTGCGATTATGTGCAAGGCGTAGAGACGGAGCACAGCCGATAACAGACAACAACCCAAACGACGTATGTAAGGTGCACTGTGAGTGGCTGCGTGGTGCTTTTTTTAACTGTCATGTTCACCCTCATAGTCACCTTTTACGGCAAGCATGGGTTGCTGAAGACCTATTCTACCCCGGATCTTCACGGGGCGGTTTGTATTGGAGGCGGGATTACATCAAGCATAGGCGGATCTGGGCTGGGTGTCCAGGGTGTCCAGGACCTCCCTCCCACCCCCTGAAAATCAAATGTAGTATGTTGTAGGGAGTAAAAGTCCTGGATCCGCCCTTGTCATGTAAATGCGTGCAGATAGTGCTGTACACTGTCGCCTAAACAACCCCTCGTGGATGTTCCTCTTGATATCCTGCTTGCTTATATATCACTAACTACAAATTCACTACTTATTTTCTCGCTTCCTTTTCTGAAGTAGAGGAAGGTATTAATTAGATCACAAGTGTGTCACAGCATTGCTCGTGAATCGTATTTCGTTTGAACAATCATTTTCTACTCAACCGATTGTAAATGGCATGTTGATGTTACATATCTACAAATTATTATTCGAGTAGTTATAGTAAACCGTATGATTCACTTACAACCGTTCAGTGTTTCTATGAAATTCAATATTTCGATCCATGACTTCGTTCCCAAGCCTAGGTTTTATAATAATCCACTGGTTTCTCTCTTCCAAGCCGCAGAAACATGGCGTGTTTAGAAATCAATAGACAGGAGCCCAGTTGCAAGGATGCCAGCCTGACTGCGTGTCAGGTGCGTGCGCATCATCAATGGCCGAAAATGGCAGACAGCTCTAAAAGAGATAAAATCGCCGCTGCCAAAAAGAGGGTATTTACTAATATGTTAACCAAACCAGTATGCCGGTTGATAATTATTTAGTGCATACGCATGTTATGTAATTCTAGGAGTCCCTTGAAATGCTTATTATGCGATAAACGCGAAAGTAAATCGTGCCATTCGGAAGTGTTTTTTTGCTAAGTTGCCAACACCAATTTGACAGATGGAAACATTTTTGCACGTTTTGATTGATATATCCAAGATCATAGTTTAATAAATTATGTCATTGCACCTCCACATAGTAGTCAAATATACTTCAACATTTCATGCAAGTTCAATTTGAGTTAATATGAAATAGATTTGATTATCCGTTACTACTATAATGAGTGTACGTGTTCAATCGAAAATACACATGCTTATGTCGGCGTCAAGGCTATGTTTATTCTCGTTGTTTTATATTGATACGCTATTATAACATCAACGGGCATGCCTCTCTTTGCACTGTCAGTAGTGGAGTGTAAACAGTAAACACGTCACTGAGCTCAAATTTCATACCGAAAACATTTGCTGGTACACATGGTGTATACCATGGTAAACTACACTTGCAGTCGATATACAAGATATCGGTCGTAATTATTTGTTTGATGCTCTGAAATGTCACCAATAACAGCAGTCCTCATTAAAAAGTATTTTCCCCAAACTAAACAAAATATGAATATATAATAATGAATTTGCATGCACTTTGTACATGTATGGTTGCATACATCAATGTAGACATGGTAGAGATATTTGAACTTCATAAAATTGTGACTTGATCACTTACCAATCCTGAAAGAATTTCAGTCATGGTAGTTGTCATGTTTGGAAATGTATTTTACTTACGTATGTATTGAAAGCAACATTTGTTGGGGGCAAACCCCATTAAATAACAATCATTACCAAGGAAGCCATTCTCTCACAAAACAGTACATACTTGACCATCAATGCAGCCGCCTCCGTGGTCTTGTGGTAGAGCGGAAGGTCCGGGGTTCGATCCCCGGCCGCGTCATACCAAAAGACGTTAAAAGATGGTACTTGTTGTTACCCTGTCTGGCGCTCGACATTAAGGGGCTAAAACAAGGACTGGTCTGCTCGAAGTCAGTATACTGTGTCTGAGTGGGGTATTCATGTTAAACTGCGGCATGGTATCTCAGTGAGCTAGCATTATAAGTCGGCATCAGTCCGGACTAGTACAAACAGCCACACACACACACACAAGTGCATGCACGTCGCTATATAAGTGCAATAATCTTGGACGCGACGTTAAGCCCAATTTCACCTCACCTCACCATCGATGCATCCTTAACTTTGTTTGGGTGGTCAAAGTTTGCTCATGGTTCATTTGCCGCTAGCTTATATGGAGGTGTTGTCAGATCTTCATACTGAGAGACCCATGAAGATACGGTTTAGAATAGGTCTGCAGGAACCCATGCTTGTCATAAGGGAAACTAACAGGATCGGGTGGTGAGACTGGCTGACTTGGTTGTTGCATGGATAGATGCTCATGACATCAACCGCTGGATTGTCTGGTCCAGATTTGATTATTTACAGACCGCTGTCATATAGCTGGAATATTGCTGAGTGCAAACAAACCAATTACACTGAGCCCTATCGTGTGCTTATCAGAGTAGTCAAATCACATCAGTTGAAGTGATGAAAACAAGTACTTGAGAAACTACAATGAGTTATAATAAAATTGAAGACGTAAGTAGTCTGAAAATCTTCTGCCACAGTCAGGTGGGCAGTTGTTTCGGACACTGAGTGAGATTGCTTCAACTGTTTAACCTACCAATCAATAATTTACAGTCCAACAACTATGTGCATCTAACCAGTGGATGACATAACTTCATGTCTTCTCTTTGGTCAGTTGTAACACTTGTGGTAGAGTGAGTGATCATGGCTTTATCATGATTATGCTGACTTGGATACTGTTTGATGTTGGTTCTAAGGGTAGAAATGGCAGAGGGTCTCTGTCCACTACATCTACTAGCTAACTTTTACTACATCAAAAGCATTTTACCAGATTTGTGCTTCAGATGAGTGCTGAAGCAGGTAAAGTCATATTCTCTCATTTTATATGTTATTAGGACTTTTTCATGATTTGATGGGGAAAAAAATGATAGGACATACTTCTGATGACATGACATTACCAATTTGACAACATTCTTTGAGACATTTGGTCACTGGGAATGGCTGCATTAAGCAATGATCACTCACTCACTGAGCACATGTTGGATAACAATCAGTCTCCAAGAAAATGAACTGATCTGACACACTCTCTATGCTAATCATGTTGACACTGACCAAAATTTGTGAGTGGTCCAAAGTAACAGCACCAAAAAAAATCCTGTTGTATCTCTACTAGACACAAAGGTGCCTCGAGCTTAGACTCAATCTATTGCTGATTTCAAAAGTCCTACAAACTTAAATTACTTTCATCATCCCCAAAATAACACGAAGCCACTGGGCCACCATTTATTTAACTAAACTGGTCCTGGACCAGTGTTAGTATCGAGCACTAATGTTGGGGCATCATCAGTCACTCCCATCAAGTATAGAATCTGGTATTCAACCATAGTGATAACTAATGATAAAATAACAAAACCAATGATAACATAGCTGTCACATGTAATATGACTCTCCCGTTTGTTGTGAGATTCAATTTACTGCTGGTGCTCAAGATAACACATGGCATATTTGCCAAACTGCTCTTTTTGAGTAGTCAGTTTTTCTAAACTGTGCTTGACAAACATTATTCTTTTCCAGTTATTTATTGTGTTAGGCCTGTTGAATGTTTTGCCCATGTGATTGCTGAAAACATATTTGCTAAAGGTTGCCGTGGTTATAGAGGAATGCTTGGTGATCGCTGCATTGCATCTCCATTCATCATCTTGATGTGTCACTAATTAATACGTTTATGTTGATCAAGTTGATTGATCTTTGGTTATCAAATAGTTTAGCAGTTTACAAAATGAAAGGGGGACCTCTGGTCCTTGAGCATGTTGAGGGTTGCTCCAATAGTATTTGAATGAAGACCTATATCTTGACCTTTTGTCATTAGGGCTGTGACAAGGACCCCTAGACTGTCATCATTGTCAAGCTTATTTCAAACACTGTGTATGTTATGTGCAATGATATGCATGATTTCTAATATAACTATGGTTTTCACACACACCCCTCTGGATCCGCCAATTAACTTGCTTAATTTGTAACAAATGAACTGCATTCCTGACAGTAGCAGTGAAAAGTAAGCAAAATAGCAATAGTCTATATCAAGGTAGACGTGGTAGAATCTGCGAAAACCAGCATAAGTTTACCATGTTCATATCAGTTTCGTTTGTTTGTTTGTTTGTTTGTTTGTTTATTTCTAACATGTCTAAGTTTGTAACTAAACTGATCAAACATGTTCTTTGATCGTGCATTGTTAGCATGTGTAGACAAGGTAGACTTGTGTAACTTGGCTGATTGTGTGTCATGGAGTGGATCATTGGCTTGATGAATAGTGTGCTTGGTCCAGATGAATTACAACCCATGAAGATAATGAATGGGACTGGGACGATATACCAACACTGTGATCCGATACGTATCACAATACCTTGTTCATGATCCGATACGTATCACAATACCTTGTTCATGATCCGATACGTATCACAATACCTTGTTCATGATCTAATATGTATCACAATACCTTGTTCATGATCTGATACGTATCACAATACCTTGTTCATGATCTGATACGTATCACAATACCTTGTTCATGATCTGATACGTATCACAATACCTTGTTCATGATCTGATATGTATCACAATACCTTGTTCATGATCTGATACGTATCACAATACCTTGTTCATGATCTGATACGTATCACAATACCTTGTTCATGATCTGATATGTATCACAATACCTTGTTCATGATCCGATACGTATCACAATACCTTGTTCATGATCTGATACGTATCACAATACCTTGTTCATGATCTGATACGTATCACAATACCTTGTTCATGATCCGATACGTATCACAATACCTTGTTCATGATCTGATACGTATCACAATACCTTGTTCATGATCTGATACGTATCACAATACCTTGTTCAAGATCTGATACGCATCACGATACTTGCATGTGCTCTTATCTGTGATGCGTAACCAATCTTTTTCATAGACAGGATGGCCAAATACATGACAGTATTGACACACTGATGATTGGCAGTGTCAAGTATGGCGCAATGGATGAAAATATTTACGTTTTCACTACTAATTAGTGTTTGGTGTAACATTTATTACATAAAACATTTTAGGCATGTAAGGTATGTACATGATGTATGCATCTGTGTATCGTTCCACCACTAATAATAAACAGTGGTAAATTACAGGGCTGCTAGCTAACTAAATGTCCTTGTTTTCCAGCTTAAACAATTTCAACAGAAGTCTGGCCGAACCCCTACCAGCTCACCAGCCCAGGCAACCAAAACAAACAAAGACAAGACTCCAAACAAGGAAAACATCTGCACTAATCTGTCTCCAGAGCAGAGCAAGGTAAGGGACATGTAGAAAGTTCCCCATAGCTTTTGCATGGTGTGTCTTGTATTTACTCAACATGCTCCAGAATGACCATACTATGACATTGCACATTGATTACTAGACTCCTTCTGTGTTCTCACGAGTGTGCAGCATATGTTTGACATGTATCTTGGATTGGAATGTTTTTCCCCCATTTCATCAGCATTGTGGTGTGAAAAGAATTATCTTTGACAGAGGCCCTCCTAAAACAATGTTAAAATTTACGTTATTCTGTCTTTAAGGGATTATGGAGGTTTTTTATGAAAGCTATGTTCAGTTACCATAGTTATCCCGTGTGATTGTCAAAAAATATCTATAAAACTTATGATGCTCAATTAAACATTAATATTTCGGAAAATCTTTCAGTCGATGACTCAGCAAATTTCTGTGTGTAATAAATTTGGAGTTGTGTCCCTTGTCCTTGATAACCAGACTTTTGGCAAAATTATATCCCTTTAACTTTTGAGAAAAAACCCGACAAATAGCTTGCAGCAGAAGATGGCACTAAAGATGACAAATTCAAATATCTGTTTCTTCATTTTCTTCCTGCCTACAGGTAACATTTGAAAAAAATCTTCTCTGTTCCAGCTTTAAAAATTATGTCAGCTTATTGTTTTTATAGTTTTGGTTCCCTCCTTTTCCTCCAATCTGTGATCCAACACCTAAGAAAATAATGGCTTAAGTGTCATGATATGTCATGATATATTGTCAGACACTGACAGATATGACACCTTGTTATCACATATAGATATTAATGTTGCTTATCATGCGTATAGATTGAACAAAATGAAAAACGAAAGTAATACTTCTAGCCAATGTAATTAACATCAGATCTTAGTTCTCACTACTGCTAAACAAAGAACTGAGGACATCCCATTACGGGTCACGTCAGAACAACCTTTCATCTGACCAATTAGAGTGTCGCTTACCAGATCGGGAAAGTGACAGTCAGAATGTGTTTTCTAATCATGCAACCTTGAAAACTTTAGCACGGGGTATTCTGAACAACAGTTGTCACATGGTTATGGGCTTTATGACTGAATCCATACAATCTAGGCCATCTATTAGCCATTCCAACATGTTCTTTTGTTCAGTTTCGTTTTTTTAATCAAGAGTTTGTCGAAAAATGTTTCGAAGCGTAGTCACCAGTTTGAAATTAGTGCCATAAAGCTGCTTTCTGATTGGCTAATGTCAACTTCTTGTCAGTCCTTCTATTCGTCGGTCAAAGTTCGCAAAAAGGTCGGTCTGATATGACCTGTAATGGGATGTCCTCAGATCTTTGTTTAGCAGTAGCAAGAACTAAGATCTGATTTTAATGAGATTGTACTTCCAGCTGCCATGGCCATTAGGCAGAAGTTAAGATTGCTAATTTGTCTTCCTACAAGTTTGAATTCAATGATTCAAGCTGTCTGCTAACTGCGTAGTTAAAAAATGACAAACAAACTTTGGAACATCATCAGAAAGATGTGCCATGTTTATTGGTTTTTTTTCTTTTTTAAAACCACACACACTCAGCAATATTCCAGCGGTATAACGGTGGTCTCTAAATAATCAAGTCTGGACCAGAAAATTCAGTGATTGACATGAGCATTAATCTACACATTTGGGATACGATGACATGCATCAACCAAGTCAGCAAGCCTGACCACTCAGTCCTGTTAGTCTCCTCTTATGGCAAGCATGGGTTGTTAAAGACCTATTCTCTACCGGATCTCCTGGGTCACATGCCATGTTTAATAACATGTTATTAAATTTATGTTAAAAAAGTTTATGTAGATCATGGTACTGTGTTTGTCAATTCTGTTTTCTATTGAGAAGGATTGTGAAGGATTGTGTGAATTCTGTGATTCCTTCCAGGTCCCTGAGTCAAACTGTGAAACTAACGACACCCCCTCCCCCAAGTCAGCTGTCGATGCCAGGTGGGTACATCATTTGTCAACCAGGGAAAATTCTCTGTCAGAATTTGGGACACCTTTTGCATTGCTTCCCTGCTTTCGGTATTTTAAGTTTGGACAGTGCTTTATTGTTTGGATGCGAGCAGCTATTTATCATCATCATGTTGATTATGATTGACAAACTTAACCTAGTTATTGTATCAATCATATCTGTTTTCAGTCCATAGTGAATTAGATTTTAAAACAACGTTGATAAATAACCTGATCCGATAATCCTGAATTAATTTGTCGTTCATATTATGAAAATTTCTTAACATTATGTTCTGACAGTCTGTTACAAAACCTTCAGGTCTGCTGGACCAGTAGCAGTAAATATAGTGTTAATATTGATTTGTTTGTTTGTTTGTTTGTTTAACGCTGCACTCAGCAATAGTCCAGCTATATGGCAGCGGTCTATAAATAACCAAGTCTGGACAACACAATCTTGTGATTGACATCATGAGCATTGATCTACACAATTGGGATTTGATGACATGCATCATCCAAGTCAGAGAGCCTGACCACCCGAGCCTGTTAGTCAGCATTTATGAAAAGCATAGTCAGCGTTTATGGCTAGCAAATGTTGCTGAAGACCTATTGTCTACTGAGAATTTCACGGGTCTGTTAATGTGTGAACTAGTTATAGCTGAATTTACCGTACCAAGCAGAATGTAGCTGAAGTTGTAGACTGGAATCTAAGTTTATTACATCTAACCTGAACATGTTTAGCATGTTAAATGTTTAAGGTTCTGGTAAGGGTACAACAGTGCATTGTGTGTTTTCATGTGACGATACGATACGCGATATGTTTTTTCTGTATAGATACAAGATGATATACTTGCTGAAATAAATTACTTACTATTCATTTAATGACCCCTCCAGCATTTTAGTAAGTCAAATATCGCAAAATATGTTGTAATTAGCATTTCAAGTTCACTACTAGAAATAACCGCCATGGACGTGTGTCTACAACTAGCTTTTCTTTTTGAACCTGTTCTGAAATATTTATTAACAAGTTTCCATGCAATCTGACATAAATGTTCATGTTGCGATATGTATCATGACCCATGTATTGTGATACGTATCGTATCCTGACCTTGCAGTGTCATTTAACGCCTAGGTTCTGGGCCCCGTTCCGCAAAGCGATGTCAGCGCTACGATTGTCGTAGGATATATTAAAGTATGGGAATTATGATTGTCCTCGCACGACGATCGCTTTGTGGAATGGGGCATGCACTGTAAGACTCATTAACTCATTAAATTCAGGCCAGTTAATGCTCCTTATACTACAGCATGTAGATAGTTACTTGCAGTTTTTGTTTTACACATCCTAGACAAGCTGAAGAGCAGCCCAAACATGGCCACTCCCAGTGGTTTGGGTCCTCCACCAGGTATAACTGCAGCGTGAAGCTGTTCCTAGTTGTGTTGCTGCTTGCTGTGCCTTCTGTTTCTCCACTGACTGAGCTTTAAGTAGTCCTAGATATCACCTGGACTGAAGCATGTTCTCTGTACCCTAACAGAGATGAAGTTGCGTAATTATGACAATGCTTCAGTCTGCATCCTTTTGGAATGTCTTCAGCAAAGGATTCTCATTCAAGGGATAGATTCATAACCCTTTTGATCTAATTTTGTCTTTTGTAACTGTTAACTGCTGTGAAAGTTTTGTTATTAGACATCTCAGACAGTCTCTGTTAGACATATACTTCAGACTGGTTTTGATAAACAAGCTCATGGTGATAATTCTGTGCGTTATTCATTGCAAATTCAAATTGTATTGAGTTCATCAGGATGTGAAAATGATGTTACTTTGGTGTGCTGTACGTGCTGGAAGTCGAGGTATTTGGGAATGGTTAAAGCTCAGTCCTTCTTTTTATTGCTTTTCAGCCTGTTGATGTTAGACATATAAATCCTCTAGATATTTATATTTACTCACATACCTCATCTGTCATATCTGTGTGTGCATTTTGCTACTCATGCTCTCATGTTAGTCGTGTTTGAACTATTATGGTCAAACATTTTCAAGATGTTTAGCTTCAGCAAGTGAATAGAGACAGAAAAGTATGTCACAATCCTATTGCTGCATTCTAGACCTAGACTTCATGTTCTAGCTCAAACTTGTTATACATCACTGACAATTATAAGAAGTTGCATCTCTTGTGAGACTCCAGGGCATTGTTGGATCCAAGTACCCCACTCTGCTCATATGACGCAACTAACCACTAATGTGTAAGACGAGGACCAGATGGATACAAATTACTGATTGTTACCATGGTTACCCTGGCAGATATCACAGGGTTGATGCTCTCACTGCACATTCTAACAAAATTCTTAGTTTCAAGGGGGGATTATTCTTGCACAAATATAAGCTGTCACTTGAGGTTGTTGTTATCCTTTTTGACACTGTCATCATTCGATCACAATTTGTGTTTGAAAGTCAACGATAGAAACTAACAGTTTTAGTCTACTACTCCTCATAATGATAACATACAGTAAAACCCTTCAAAATGGCAAATTTCTACTTGTCCTTATGATACATTAACTGTTGGGTAGTTTGGCAAAGACTATAGGACTAGTGCCAATTTCTAACGCTGAAGGTCAGATGCTAATGTATGCAAGTAGGTGGTCATTAGCATGATTAGTGTGTCCGTAGATGCTCAGATTTCTACAATGGTGTGACAGCCATAATGCTGAGTTACTAGGCAGGCTTAGTCAGACTGTATTGACTCCAGTAGTGCATGAAGCATTTGTAACCCACAGCATGATGTGTACCAGCAATCTCATGTTAGCCCTACAGGAATTGATGTCATAGTTCACTTGCCTCTTTGTCATTTTCAGATTTGTCTGACTTTTTTGCCAAATTCTCAACCTTCATCAGTGTTAAACAACTTTGTTCTAACTCTTGCTAACAACCCATTTATTAATCTCCCAATTTCTTGTGTTTTCAAAAAACAAATTTTATATTATCGTGTTTGTCAGTATGGCATATGTATGATGTTGATTTAGAACAAATAGATTATTATTGTTTTGATCCTTTTGGGTGAAGCCCTGTGTTACAATGTTTACTGATAATGCCGAGAAGCTGCTAACCACAGTCATGTTTGTGTTATTGTTGAACATTACATGGCAGTGTAAGGGATTCCCATAGCAATATTTGCTGATGACAATTTTTAGTGATTTATAGTAAATTGGTAAATGTGAAAAAAGTAGGTTACTGGTGTTTAGATAAGGCCTGGGGCCCCGTTCCACAAAGCTATCCTGGCTCTTTGATTGTCGTAAGTCAGTGTTAAAGAACGGGACTTACGATCACCTAAGTGTCACGATTCGATCGCTGTGTCGAATGGAACCCAGAACAGTATTCCTAAAGCGTGGTATGATGTTCCTATGATAAATACATCCTCAATGATCCAGTGTATCATGGTGTATTACGTCTCCATTCTAATTTGATAAATACCCTGTACCCTTTTGCCACTGTAGGTTCTTGTTGAAACGACACAACACTAAGTGTAGCCTTCCAAAGAAATGCAGGATTGGAATAAACAGAGATATCACCATGATCACCACTTTTTAGACTAACATTTAGTCTCTGAAATCTTATATTACACAATATCCTTCTTGACTCTAAAAAATTTCCCTATGCTGATTTCAGAGGAATAGAGCTAGCTTGAGCTGGCTAGACTTGCTTTTGTATGCATTTCTAGATTATTATTTTTTCATAAAATAAATATATTCCACGGTCATGGTGCAGGACTAACCACTTTTCTGTTTGTTGCATACCTCCTAGATTACAACATCTTAAGTATAAAACCATCCCTCCCTTCCCTTATCATGCTTATCACTGGGAAAAACATTTTTTTGAGCTTGAACATCATAATGATAGTCTTCTGATTTGATTAAACTTTTAGAGCAGGGGTGCATTTATCAACACATTTGTATGTAGCCAGCAGTGCTTGCTCCTTGTAAAAGTTACTGGCCCTTCTCCAAACTAACGAGACTACAACAACATGATGGAGGACGTGAAGTGACCGAGCCTGTGGTCGTGTAGCCACCTTGCAGGGCTCTGAACATTTTAGAACTCCTCACCCCTGAAACGCCTTTTCCTACACTCTGAGATTATATCTTAGCTTCCATTCGCCTCATTTCATGCTGATTTATGAGCAAATAAACAACATTGCAAAATGTCCGGTTGTCATTCTACTGAGATGATTAACATATATCTTTCTTTGAGTTAAACATTCACACGACCTCATCCCCCCTAAATATTTTCTCATCATGATTCACGGGTAGTGACCAATTAAAAATATTAAACACATGGAGGAAGAAGGGGTGAAATATTGACTAGCCAGACAGGCCATCTGCTTTGTGGTTTAGCAAGCCCTTTGTAATTTTAAGTGGCCATGGGCCAATGGGCAAGCAGTTAAATCGACCCCTTTAGAGGACTCACAGTTTTGAAATTAGATCACCCAGAAGAGTAATTTTATTGGTTAATTCAAGCTGATACTGTTGGACGATAGTGATGTCACTTCTGCAAATAAAGCTTTGATGGCATGCAGGGTGTTTAGCACAATAGAATGGAGATATACTACACTGGACAGACAAGGGTGATGAGAGTATGGGGAGGTTATTACTGTTGTTTGTTTCTCTAGAACAACGTCCTCCACTGAGAGCCTGCAGCAGCTGTCCAGACAGATCAATGGCCTTCTAGCAGAGGTGGGTTTGCTGATGGCATACGCAAGTAGAAATGTTTCCCAGTGATGATGGACTCGAAATGTTTTTGTGTGTTATTATCTGAAGTACAAGATGATAATCTACATATATGTTACAATTGAGAGAGGGCGGTAGGGTAGCCTAGTGGTTAAAGTGTTCGTTCGTCACGCAGGTTCGATTCCCAAAATGGGTACAATGTGTGAAGCCCATTTCTAGTGTCCAGTGGCGTGATATTGCTGGAATATTGCAAAAAGCAGCATAAAACCATACTCATTCATTCATACAATTGAGAGATGGACATTTTAGATTAACTTAATTAATTGCATGTGGAGTTTTGTCAATCGGTATAAACATGATGAAAGTCGTTGACAGGAGCATCAAAGATATGGTTAGGTAGGGTAAAGAGAACTGGAAAAAAAATTTTAGCACATAAGTACATAATATTGAGCATTATGCTGCATATATGTATTCTCATGGTTCCAATATCCAGGCTAGGGTATTCACGTTTCGGATCAGTTGCCAAAGGGAGATAACTCATGACACAATAATTCTTTGTCAAATGGCTTGTCCTGATTGAAATATGATATCTGACATATTTTAACAAGGTTAATAATATTGGCTGTGTCATAGTGTGTGTACTTGTAGAGTTTACAGGGTTAGAACTAAACTCAAAAGCTTTTCTAGCCCAGGTAAAGATGAAATGCCCTTGTATTGTTAAGCAGTGGGAAATTTGGAAAGTGGTACTAGCCTGCAGAAATTTGTACTAGCCCAGGACTAGTGTTAAGTTCTAATTCTGATTTGATATTTCTCACGATACTAATATAAAATTTGTTGTCCCTTTCTTTACAGACCTCAGACTTTGTCAATGGTGAAGAAATGGATACCACAAATGGTTCAAGTGTTGCAGAGCTTGAGGTGAGGCGAGTTTTGTAGTAAATCATGGCATGTAACAAGGACTGAAGAACAACTTATTTTTGTGCCCAATAACAATGTATGCCATTACCATAGTTACAGTGGCATGTCTCTGCATTTTAGAAACTGAGGGTGAATACAATTCATGAATCCTTATGTTTTTATTGATTTGCTGAGAAACCTAACGTGATGATCACTTAAATTATCATGTATTCTTTAGTGGTGTAACAATACAGCAATATAGCATTGTATCGTGATACGAGGCTCATCAGTTTACAAACCATGTATCACGATACATATGGTACATTACATTTCAATTTATCTTTGAGATTGAGTAAAAACACAAATAATAACAGAATCTGTTCAACAACCAGCTTACGCAGATTCTCTAGTAATTCCCAGTTGGCTATAAATAGCATAACATTCTCACTGCCCTTTAACCTATATATTTCTGCCCAACAATATCCCATCTTCCATCTCTGAAATTTTAAAACGTATAATTCACCTACAAAAAGAAAGAAATGGAAGTGCTGTATTTGGATACGAATCGTATCGCACCCATAGTATCAGGATATTTATCGTATCGTGACCCCATCGTGTCATTGCACCACTAGTATTCTCAGAGAATATTTTAGCCTGTGGTCACATATCCACCTAACAGGGCTCTGAAATTTTTAGAACTCCCCACCCCTTAAATGTTTATCTGAGATTAACTCTTGGCTCTTGTTTGCCTCATTTCATGGTGATTTATGTGCAAATAAAGAAGTTGTTGTACACAATATTACAAAATGGCGTTGTCATTCTACCGAGATGATCAAATAAAGAAAATTAAACATACACCATGTACACGGAGAAGGGTGAAATTTTGACCAGCCAGACAGACATCTACGTTACATTTCAGTAAGCCTTTGTAATTTTAACTGGCACAGACCAACAGGCCAGCAGTGAATCAACCCCAGTAACACATGTAATAAGTGTGCCCAGCACAATTGAATGCATTTTGACAGATCTTAACAACAGTGAAATTCACTTGATACAGTCAAACAGACATCCTTAACCATTATTTAGGTACATGTACTTCTAATTTCATTTTTTTTTTTTTCACATGTTCACTTTTGGTTTTCATTTTTTTCCATAGAAGCGGAATCGTGAACTTGCAGCTCTCCTTGAGAAATACTCATCAACTAATGAACAGTTGACAACACAGATTGAACAAGTTGTGAGTCACATAGCACCTATACAGGGCTCCCCTGCTCAAAGGGATTTTAAATTAGCCTTTTGAACTCACTTAAGTCTTTCCTCTACCTTTTGCAGGAAATTTCTGTTGGAAATTGTTAGCAGAAGTGTTGATGAGATTTGAATTTTCATGTTCTCAACATACGCTTATTTTGGATTCATAACTGATAAAAACACCAAAGTCTCTTTTGTGTCAGGAAGGTTTTCAGGCAGAGATTTTTTTAAATATTTGGACGAGAAATCTGATTATCCTTCTTTTTTTAGCCTAGCAGATGCATTTAAGAATGATAAGGACATTATGGACATATGGTGCATATCAGGATTAGTCTTCCACAACTTGAAACATTTCCAGCGGGCCAAAGAGGGTCCTTGTCATACCTCACTCTTCACAGAGTGTTGGCCATTATGTGTCCAATTACAAAACAAACTTGGGGCAGTGGGTTGACATTCGCTTGTCACGCCAGAGACCTCGGTTTGATTCCCAACACTGGCAGTGTTAGAAATTGGCACTAGTCCTATAGTCCTTGCCAAACTGCCCAATAGTTAAGGTATCATAAGGACTAGTTGAAATTGGCCCTTTTTGCATCATAAGAACTAGTGTAGTGGACGAAAACTGTTAGTTTCTACCTCTGCATTGGAACTGTGTTTGAAGCACCATTGTCGTGATATTGCTAGAATATTGCTAAAAGAGCCATAAAACGCTTGCTTGCTTCTGGTTATCTGCTCTTGAGTTCAAGGTTAGTTTAAGTGTTGAATGGCTGCCAGCTGTGAACACAGATTGATGTTGTTGTCCTGCTTGTTACAGAGAAGTCATGCGAAGACCCTACAGGAGCAGCTGGACCAGGAGCGAGATGGCTTCGATGATAAACACAAGAAAGATGTTGGGTCCCTCAGGGAACAACTGCAGGTATTGTCACTGAGATGTATTCCCTCATTAAGCTTAGGCCACAACACAATTATTATTCCATAAACATTTTTTGTTTGAGATGGGGGCTGGTGATTCTGTCATCAGGAATAGAAACAGACTGGTGTAAATAGCTTCTGAACAGTCACAGCCAATGTGGGCCAGTCATCTGAGGTGTAACCAATGAACACTTTTTATAACCAGAGAGTGTAATAAGATGATTAGTTTACGTACTTAAGTATGGATTTGTTGACATGGTATTTCCGGTGTTACGTGCTCACAGTAATGTCTTTGTGTTGGGGGGAAAAAACCCATCAAAACTCTTCAACCCTGTGTTTAAGACGACCCCCCTTATTCTAGGTATGAAAAACTCACCTTTTACACAGCGATACATGGTACTGTTTGGATAGGTAATCAATGATACAGTTACTTTGATATGTCTTTTTCTACTCCTTACTCTGGTGATGCAATGGGATAGCCTGACAAAACAATGCAAAACAATATGGAAATCACTTCTTTGAGTGGGATTTAGAAGTTGATGTGATGAACAAGGACATGTTTGTATGGATAGACATTAAACAACTTCTTTAATATAACTAAGTCGACATTTCGGTGAGATTCTAATCTCTAGGCTGCTTGTATCTTACTGGCTTCTTGTCAACTTGTTGTCCATCCGTATAATTCCATTGTTTTCCTTATCAGCTAGCACCTCATGATACTTTACCCAGATCAATCTTATCAACTTGTATGCATCAATCATGATTGTATTACACTGTGTGATGTCAATCACTCTTTGTACTTCAACCTTATCATTTGTATATATCTCCCATCCATATCTATGTAACCCCATATTTGACCTTGATGTACATCACTTGCTTGACAAAGGTGTTGAATCTACATCAAAGCGTCACCTTAGTTGCAATAAAGAAGCTGTTTATCCATATCTTGTAATCTGAATTCCCACTGAATGTCTTCCATTACCATGGCCTGTTCTGACCTCGTGTTTGTTACCACACAAGACAAAAGTGATGTGCAAAGTAGCCTGTGGCATTGTTATGCTAAGTCATCACTGTGCGGGAGTGTAACTGAATCTTACTTATGCTATGTGACCTACCAAGGACCATTATCAGGGACTGGTTCACAAGTCTGTTCCTTGCAGGTGCACATACAGACGATCGGAATACTTGTTGCGGAGAAAACAGAGTTGCAGTCTCAAGTCAGTCAGTCACAGCGCATTGCGGAGCAGAGATTAGGTAGGTGTATTTTATCTTCATCCTATTAGACCCATTCGCCACTATAGATTTGTCCGGAAGTAACATAATCATTGTCATCTCTCTGACAACTTAGCAAAGAATTTCCTCCACTCAAGAGCTTGACGCCAACAACCAGTCTAAATGCCTCTTGTGAACACGTCAGCATTAATCTGCATTGTACATCACAGCTTCATACAAGAGAGCTGATATATTCAGTCAATTCAGAACAACCAGGCTAACCCAGTTCAGGTTCTATCGAGGATTGGTTCAGTCAAACTGTGAAGATCCAGGGTAGAATAGGTCTTCAGCAACCCATGCTTGCTGTAAAAGGAGACTATGCTTGTCGTAAGAGGCGACTTACGGGATTGGGTGTTCAGGCTCGCTTACTTGGTTAATGCATATCATTGTATACCAATTGCGTGGATCGATGCTCATCATATCAATAACTGGATTGTCTGGTCCAGATTCTATTATTTACAGACCGCTGTCATATAGCTGGAATGTTGCTGAGTGCGGTGTTAAACACCAAACAAACAAAACAAATTGGTTCAGACAGGACAGATCAGTGTACGGTTATGTGATAAGATTGCTATTTTTGACGACAACAGTTTTGTGAACTGACTTTTTCATGATTTCAGATGAGATTGAGGAGTTGAGTGGTCGTCTGAAAGCATCTCGACAGAGAGTGGCTGACTTGGAGAGAAACGTATCGTCTGTATCTTCGTCTAGTCAGCAGTATGAAAAGGTCTGTGTTTGTTTATTTGTACCCAAACATGTATAACTTACGTTAATTACTGAAACTTGATAACTGTGTCCCTGACCCCAATCAATATTATCTGATCATATCTTCTAAAAAGGAAGTGTGATTATTATTTTTTAAATAATCCTGTCAATTTTAGCATCTTTGTATGTCCCTCATTTTGATATTGGACAATTGGTAACATTTGAGTGGAGATATGATGTGCATACCACAGATCTTTCTACCCATTCTGCTAAAGTACATACAGATACAACATTGCATCATACCCTGTTCATTCAGGTTGTGTTTCTACCATGTTGCTTTGTCAGGATAACACTGACATGCTTGTATTGTGTGAATCAATATGCCCCAGTAATGCGATGTCCGTTGAACTGATTTGGTGATGCCCATGTTGGGGGTGTCACAACTCACAGGTGTAGCAGTGCAGCGCGATGTTGCAGCACGATGTTGCAGCACCATGCTGCATCTGACGGTGCATCTGATGGTGCATCTGATGGTGCACTGATATGCCTACCATGATTCATATTTTGATGCTGAATTTTCCAAAGATTATGCTTACAGAGTTTTTTACTTGGTCTGATAACAACTCGGGTTAGCACTAGCTTACTGACTATTAAGAATCAATGCAAATATGATTGCATGATGTAATTACAGAGAGTCTACATTAACCAGTCATGCATGTTAAACACAAACTGGTAATACACAAACTGGTAATACACAAAACTGGTTCAATACAAACTGGTAATACACAAAACTGGTAATACACAAAACTAGTTCAATACAAACTGGTAATACACAAACTGGTAATACACAAAACTAGTTCAATACAAACTGGTAATACACAAACTGGTAATACACAAAACTGGTTCAATACAAACTGGTAATACACAAAACTGGTTCAATACAAACTGGTAATACACAAACTGGTTAAACACAAAACAGATTAAACAGAAACTGGTTAAAAACAGACTTACTATCCCAGGTTAGCAATGCTTCACAGAACATTAGTTTCCTGCAAAAACTAGTGCAAATAAAGTATTGCAATGTGTATCAATGGACTCAAGTATCGTGCTACGTAAACGAGGTGATTGTGACACCCCTAGCCCCCGACAGCCCCTTGCTCTGACTATGACTGGTAGGTAAGTGTTGTAGTTAAGTCAGTATGTGGCACTAACACTTGTTTTCCTGGCACTGTAGACTCTGGAAGAGGTAAGCTGAGTGTTTATCATGTTTACTGGTTGTCTGTTTTGTGTTTGTCCCACCTTGTCCCACCTTGTCCCACCTTGTCCCTGTAGATAGATTGGGAGCTTGCTCTGTGTTTGGGTGGAGAGGAAATGTTTGGATACTGTGGTCATCACTTGCGTAACATTTTCAACAGATCGCTTCAAAGTTTTAATCAGTTTTACACAATTTTAATGGTAGATGGCAGAGGGGTAGATTTCTATTTGGTGCAGATTCATGGGATAACAAATTAACAAAGAGATTATTTTCTTCTTCAATGTGTCAATGTTTTAATAACAATATCACTTGATATCATATATTACAAATCATTTGGTGAAATCAGTATCAGAATATGAGAATTATGATATATATCTTCCAGAAAGTGTTTTTACACCATCTCATTTAACATGTCTAAAGGCATTTGTTGTGAATGTAGACTGTAAATCCAAGCCTGTGTATATTTCTGACTTTCCCCTGTGGGGATTCTGGGTTAGATTAGGCCACCAGCAACCTATGCTGATCGTAAGAGGCGACTCAATGGATCAGATGGTCAGGCTTGTTGATTGTGTGTCATCATACCCTGACAGCATGGATCAATGCTCACAATATCAATCACTGGATTCTCCAAACTCTATTATCAACAGGCTGTTGCCATAGAATTTGAATACTAGTTCAGTCCTCAAAAACAAACTTAAATATTTATTTCATTGTTGAACCCCTTGATGAGTTTCTCATGTATTTTCAGTTTTTCTTTCATTTTTCATCCTATTCAGTTTGGCATTGTTTTTACCCCCTTTAATGAAAATTAGAAGTGTTACTTATTTTATTTGGTAATATGGAACCAACTTGAAATTTATGTTATAATTAAAATAAGATTTTTCAGCATGCTCTGCATGTTGAGTTGTAATAGAATTCAGGAGCTGGTGCAGATCTGTTTCGGCAATTCATAACATTTTACATGTCCGTACTCATTACATCATGGACGAGGGATGTATGTATGTATACGTGGTGTGATGCAGATTGACTCAGAACTGATAATTAAAGATGAATTTATCATGTAAAGATGAAAGTGTGTCATTGTTTGTATCATGTATCATGTATCATGTGTTGTGGCTAATTGTGTTTGTTGCCCTTTGTTTGTTGCCAGTGTTTGTGTCTGTGCACCAAGTTGCACCATTTTTAGATATTCACAATGTTGTGTTCCACGCCGAACAAGAGAGATAATTTACTGACATGCAATGTGATTTCTAGCTATTTCTATCCATCGCTGCAGAGACGTGAGAGCCAGTTGGACTTTTGTTTGTTACCTGAGCTAGTTCCAAAAGACTTACACCGAAATTCACCCAATCACAACGTGGATTGTTTCAGTCGTTTCACATTTTGCGAATTTGACTGACTAAATTGCTGGGGGCTCATTTAACGAGTAGCAAGTAATATATTTATGAAAGTGTTTCGTCTTGCATTGATACAGAAGTAAACGTATCGTGTATCATATCGTCGCATGAAAACTGGTGCACCGATGCATCGTTTCATCCCTATTATTCATATTTCGACTTTGGAGAGGTGACTTATAGTTTACTGACAACCGGACTGTTATTGATAAAGAGACTTTAATGCTTAGTTTCACTTTATTGCATTCAATGCAATGTAAAATTAATTATATTTGAATTTCAGAAAACATTATCAAGGATATATGTTTGTTTTCAAGAAACGATTATTTTCAGTAAGTTATCTCCCTCACAACACGTTCTCACATGTCTCCATGTTAAATGATGGCTCCTCTTCACATGAAAATCAGACTCCTTTCCAAATGTTTTGCAGGCTAATAGAGAGTCTACAAAGGAAATTGATAGATTGAAAATGGATCTGTATAAGGCAAAGTAAGTTTTGAAATAATGGTATGTACCATATTTGCCGTAATAAGCACCCTGGGCTCATATAAAATTGGCAAAGAAGGTGTTTATTAAACCCCATACAGTGAAATTTGTTTGCAGAGATTAAGCGGTAATGAACAAACTAAGTTCAAACATCGATTGTTATAGGCAGTTCTGTGCCTCTTCTATACTGCGAATTTCTGTAAAAACAATTACATAATAAAATGTGGACTGTCATGTAAATGTTCGATCTAACATGAGGCACTTTTGCAGATTATTTACAGATATCTCGAAGTTTTGTCATGTGTTTTTCGGAGCAGAGTACTTAGTATGGCGAATACGGAATTACAAATGTCCAAAAGTCTGCAAGCCTGATTCTGTTGTAATTATAGTTTATATTAATCATATGTATTATTAAATATGGTAAATGCAATATGATATTTGTCAGTAAGTTGTAAGTGTTCAGGTACAAGTTTTGATGATGCATAATTCCTGCTGTGAACTTGATAAAGGATGTGAATAACTTCTTCCACCTTCTGGATTGTTAACATGTCTTGTTATTTCAGTAAATCCAAAGATGAATTTCAACAGCAGAGTTCTGAACTATCTGAGAAACTCAGTTCAAAGGTAATGTGAATAATGGGACTGTGCTATGCTACGCTGTACTATACTAATAGTAGTAATAATTGTCAATGTCAGTCTGATCGAAACACATGTTTACTGTGTGTCAAGTTACTGTACATTCCCTTTAATACAACATGTATAGTGTGAAACATTTTAATTACTTGAGGGCACAGTTTTGGATACTCAAAATGGCCGACCAACAGGAGAAATGTCAGACAATAACTAGGTATGACAAAATGCAGAGTTGTCAAAATTTCTTTTTTTGATATGACTTTTACTGGAAAAATATTAACGTGGGCTTTGGAGCTCTCATAGTTCAAACTGTCATAGCTTGATATGTAGACAAGATGTGTGGCCTAGCTGATTGTCCTTCACTGTGGCCCACTGGCATTGGTAGTTGCTCATGCTGTCAACCCCTGGTTTTCCAGGCCTGGACTTGATTATTTACATGCTGAGTTGCTACAGCTGGAATACTGCTGACTGTGGCATAAAATAACAGTCACTCACTCGCCATGCTCAGTCAGCCAGTGACATGGGTCCATGGACCGGAAGTGTTTCCTCTCTGGGTGTCCATGGTTGATATGTTTTAAGGATGTGTTTCTGTTTGATCCAGGTTGGAGAATTTTCAAGCCTTGAACAAACTGTTGCTGAGTTACGGAAGCGACTAGAAATGGCAGAGCTCTATGCACAACAGGTAGGAGTGATAAGCATGATAAAGCGTCAACTATTGCAGTTAGAGCAACTAACACATAATCAGTTGTCAACATGTTTGTCTAATTTGTGTTCTTGTAACATTTGACATCATGTATCAGGGCGCGATTATCTATATAAAACATACACAAGTGCAATATAATATGTAATATTTATGTGTACATATGTGAGATGTTAAACCCCATTTAACCTCACCTCACCTTAGGCAAGCTACCTTACCCGTAATGCTAGAGAATAGCAAGCCCATGCTTGCTGTATGAGGCAAATATTTCTGTTGTAAGAGGCGACTAATGGGATCGGGTGGTCAGGCTCGCTGACTTGGTTGATACATACATCGTATCCCAATTGCTTAGATAGATGCTCATGATGTTAATCACTGGATTGTTTGGGCCAGATTCGATTATTTACAGACAGCCGGTATATATGCGGAAAATAGCTGAGTGCGGCAGACAACAAACAAACAAATAATGTTCAGCCTCAGGGTTACAATAAGGACCCCTTTCATGCTTGACTCTGGACTGTGTGTATTGTGTTCATTTGTTGAGCCTGTTTCTTTGTGTCCGTAGTTTTTCATATTACGCCTTAAACCAATATAAACATCATTCTGATTGTTTTTCAGCTTTCAAGTGAGAGCGAAACTTCCAGTGAGTCGGTGAAAGTGGTTGAGCAGCTGCAGGTTGAGAGGGACACATTGATAGCCAAAATCCACCAGTATGACGAGTCTTTCCATAAAGTGGCCGCCGAGCGGGACCAGATATCGGAGCAGTACAGACACTACACGGAACAGCTGCAGCAACAGAGCCAGGAGCTCTCACAGCAGGTGGGCACCACACAGTCTACAGACATAGCTCCTTGGAGATTCCAGGACATCATGCTTGTCTGATTAAAGACCATCAAATGATCAAGTATGGAGACTTGCTGATTCTGTGTCTTCATGCCTAAAGGTTCTTAAGGTGTAAACTGGAGTATTGACCAGCTGGTGATGTGGTTCAAATAGGTCAGAATAGGTTCCCAGTACTACACTTGTCTGTGGACTGTGTCAGGTCCCCGTGGAAACTCCAGGTCAGAATAGGTTCCCAGTACTATACTTGTCTGTGGACAGTGTCAGGTCCCCGTGGAAACTCCAGGTCAGAATAGGTTCCCAGTACTATACTTGTCTGTGGACAGTGTCAGGTCCCCGTGGAAACTCCAGGTCAGAATAGGTTCCCAGTACTATACTTGTCTGTGGACAGTGTCAGGTCCCCGTGGAAACTCCAGGTCAGAATAGGTTCCCAGTACTACACTTGTCTGTGGACAGTGTCAGGTCCCCGTGGAAACTCCAGGTCAGAATAGGTTCCCAGTACTATACTTGTCTGTGGACAGTGTCAGGTCCCCGTGGAAACTCCAGGTCAGAATAGGTTCCCAGTACTACACTTGTCTGTGGACTGTGTCAGGTCCCCGTGGAAACTCCAGGTCAGAATAGGTTCCCAGTACTACACTTGTCTGTGGACAGTGTCGGGTCCCCGTGTCCTGCATAGTCTGTTCTGTGACTGTTGAAGATAACATTTGGTCTGTGTCCAGGTGTCCAGCATGGCGGAGGAGCGAGAGCAGCTGCTGGCCAGACAACATCACCTGGAGGCCTCCGCTCTCGAGCTGCAGAGAAAGCTGGGTATGTACACTGCTCACACAGGATTACAAAGCCTTGTATGGCTCATCTTGTCTGGAATTAGCCAAGCAGAGTCAAGAGGTCATAACCCTCAAGTTAAAAGTTCAAGATTTAGAGTCTCGCCAGATTCAAATACCACAGAAGACCTCATGGATCCCCGTCAATTAAGAACATTTTCGGACTCAAAGGGGTGGAGGGTGGGTGTGGTTGGGGCGGGGTAGACATATTTGTTCTTTGCTCAGTTCCAGGTGGAGTTCCCATCCTACTCTGAGCGATAACTTGAAAACAGTTCAATGTTTTTCATCAAAACTTGGCGGATGCGTTACTCATCAGCTTAAGTGGTGCCTTTTGCTATTTTATTTTTTATGTTTTCATGGGAACTATTTCGACTTAGTCTCAAATGAGGGTAGGGTTCATTTCCGGGCCATTTCTTGAAAGCCATTCAATGATTTTCAACAAGACTTGGTACATGCATTGCTCACTGGTGCCCTTTTGATATTATGAAAGTTTTCTAAATTATTTGTTGATACCTTTCCATGGAACAATTTCAACTTTGACTCAAAGGATTCTAGACTTAGTGTCCAAGCCATAACTCTCAAACTAGTGAATATCTATACATATGAAAAGACCACAATTGATCAACAATTGCCTTTTCATATTTTTCAATATGTAATTTGTTTAATTTCTTGTGTTTCCATGGAAATAATTTGGACATAGTCTCTCAAACAAATAGCATTTGTTTCCCACCAAAACTCTGCAGCTAATGAATATTTCTGCATGAAACCATTATTGTGCCAGGCTCAAATTTGTAACTATTGTTTTCAGATTTGCAAACACATTTAAAGTAACAACTTGAACTGACGTATCAAGAAATAGCATGTGTGGGATGGGGGAGGGGAGGGGGACATGTTTTTTTGACAAAAAGCACATTCTTGTTTCCCTTTAGGCAAATGGGATAGCACAATGGTTAAAACATTGAAGACGTTTGTCTTTCAGAGGAGGCAGTGGTGGTTGAGCGACCGGTGCAGGAGAGTGTGTCTGCCGATGTCCCGGAGGAGCTGGAGCGAGTCAGGTTGGAGTACCAGGAGCTGACAGAGAGACATGAGTCCCAGGTCCGAGACAACGCCCAGCTCAGCAGGTCAGTGACAGTTTAGAGGAGGCTATTTTTCACATCTCATCACTATTTCCATATTTCATGTGAGGTTAGCTTGTAGCATATTCATATTGGGGTCACTGTGTAGTTAACAGTTATATTGCTTACTTCACGTATATTTTGACATTTGTGTTACATTTTGTCATATTAAGAGTAAAATGGATAGGGTTATATGAACAGATTTATCAGTGTTTACAGCGATAGAACTTAAAGTTTTAGGCCACTAGTCCTTATAATGATAACATATGGTAAAACACTTAAAACAGGCAAATTTCTACTTGTCCTTAGGAAACCTTAACAATTGGGCAGTTTGGCAAGGACTAGTGCCAATTTCTGACGCAGCAGAATTATGTACACACTCAACTTCAGTCAAGTCGCCGACACTCGTTCAGCGTTAGAAATTGGCGTTAGTCCTAAAGTCCTTGCCAAACTGCCCAATGGTAAAGGTATCATAAGGACTAGTAGAAATTTGCCCTTTTTCAAGGGTTTTGCTATATGTTATCATTATAAGGACCAGCGGACGAAAACTGTTAGCTTCTAACCCTGTCGTTAATCCGACATTCGGCTTTATACGACACTAATGATGGGAACTGTTTAAATCAGTGCCATTTAGACCCGTTCCCAGTCCCGCACCCCGACTCCGACACAAGTAATCAGCAACGAATTACAGAAATCACTCATTAATTAGTCTCGTTAATCCGACACAGTGATCAGCTTACTCCGTGGTCATCTGCCCGCGAGTTACACAGCCCCTGTTTTGATGCGAGACAAGTCAGCTAGCAGCTGCATATTACAACCGCTGCAGAGATAAACTTGCTTAACAATAAACAATTAATGCTTTAAATAAAGAAATCAGGATTAATCACATGCTTAGATTACCTCAATCTCATTAAAATCAGATACAAGTTCTCGATATCGCCAAGGACGTCCCATTACAGGTCATGTTAGAACAACCTTTCGCGAACTATGACCAACCAATGAAATGACCAACAGGAAGTCAACGTTAGCCACTTAGAAGGCAGCTTTCTTAAGCACAAGTTAACATTAACACAAGTCACTAGCTCCCTATGTATTGCCACCCGTCTGAAGCTATGACGCTACTGCTGCAGGTTTCTGGAGGAGAAGGAGGAACGGATCTCGGAGCTGGAGTCGACGGTTTCCACTCTCGGGGAGGAGGCCGGAGACAAGGCTCAGCTCCTGGAGAACATACAGAGTGACAAGACAGCTCTTAGTCGCGCTCTGACCCAGAACAAAGACCTCAAGCAGCAGCTGGCGGAACTGCAGAGCGGCTTCGTCAAACTGGTAAGACTACTGTAGATCCTTATTGATCCGCTGCAAACAAGTCCGGTGACCACTGTTGGAACCTGCATCCCAGTTAGAGACACACTTTTGAAACTTCAACAGCTAGTTAGCATGAGACCACTTTTACATAACTATTACCATGATGCCATCACAAGACATATGGGGGATGGCTGCATCTTGAGAACTGTTTCTGACACTCCAATCACTTTGGTCGGCTACATCTTCCCGAGACAAAATTCAGTAAAATTCCAGTTTCCATCCTTGCCGAACTAGTCTGGAACTTCCAGGCTCAATCGTACCGCCACCAATGGCTATTTCCAGTTGTGTCCCTTCAGTGTTCATCCTACTGACCAATCAATCAGATTCCACCTCTCATATCACTTGCTTTTGCTTCAAACAATATGGTGGTGCTCAGTCAAGATGATCGGATCAATAATCAAAATTTTCTGTTCTAATATAACGCGAAGGGCATCACATCACGTGAGCACCTTGATTAAAATCATGAAAAGATTTGGAAAATATCTGGTGATCATGCAGCGGTAGAAACTAACAGTGTCAGTCCACTAGTCCTTATAATGATAGCATATAGCAAAACCTTTAAAAATGTCAAAATTCTACTAGTCCTTGGGATACCTTTACTGTTGGGCAGTTTGGCAAGGACTATAGGACTAGTGCCAATTTCTAACCCTGGTGATGCCCAGTTAACAGTACACAGTGGCCATGATGTTTATCAACCAGATGTCTAGTTCGTTACATGATTTTGATTGGACCGTGCATCGACTTGTTAGTCCAGCCAAAATATAACTCCATTATTCCAGCCTAGTTTGGAAAGGGCAGAAACTGGACTTTTGTAGTCAGTTAACTCCCCTGCCTCGGGAAGATGAAGCTGACCTAGGTGAAACGGAAGATGGGTCGGCTAAGGAGACTTCTTATCATGCTGTTAATACAGAGCTCAAGAGGGTTAGGTTCTAACTGTATGGAGGTTCAGAAGATCATGTGACAACAATGACAGTTTAAGATTTCGACACCATGCTGACGGGTAACCTTTTTAGTGATGTGGACAAGGTGTTCTGCTTCGGATCAGGGCCTCAGTTCAGATCCCATTGGAATCATAAATCGGGCACAATACGTACATTTGTGAGATGTAAGTGTCCGTTGTGTGTTTCAGAGCAACGAGAACATGGAGATGATGACCAAGCTTCAGGGGGAGGAACACTCCGGCAACGAACTCGGTCAGCGGCTCGCTCAGCAGGAGGATGAGATCAAAGACCTCCGAGAATCGGTGAGAAACTACATTTCAACCAAGACACCTGGGCCCACTTGCACAAAGCAATCTTAGCGTTACGACTATTGTAAGCCTATGTTAAAGTATGGGAGTTACGATCATCTTAGCACTAAGATCGCTTGTGCAAGTGGGCCCTGGTGGTTATTAGTGTGTATATTACCCACAGTGGTCCTTAATACAGGAACACGGATATGTCAGAAATATTTTGGAAATCTCACTGAGAAATATACTTTTCTGATTGTCTAGTTTTGTTCTGTATCTCTATTCAGTCCAATGTGTGATATTGTTTGCCAAGACCGCCTCCATGAAGATCCGGGGTAGAACAGGTCTTCAGCAATCCATGCTTGCCGTCAAAGGCGACTGTGCTTGTCGTAAGAGGTGACTAATGGGATCGGGTGATCAGGCTCACTGACTAGGTTGATGCATGTCATTGATCCCAATTGCGTGGATCGATGCTCATGTTGTCAATCAGTGGATTGTCTGTTCCAGACTCGATTATTTACAGACCGCCGTCATATAGCTTGAATAACAACAAAACAAACAAACTGACTGTGACGGTTACACTGAATGTGACGGTTACACAGACTGTGACGGTTACACCGACTGTGACGGTTACACAGACTGTGACGGTTACACCGACTGTGACGGTTACACCGACTGTGACGGTTACACAGACTGTGACGGTTGCATCGACTGTGACGGTTACACTGACTGTGTCTCCAATGTGCTGCAGGTGAGCAGCAAGGACCGGGAGATGTCGGAGCTGCAGAAGGTGGTGTCCATCTCCCAGAGGGAGGAGTACCAACAGGATCAGATCCAGGACAGACTGCGGCACTATGAGGCCCAGGCCCAGCTGGTCGACACACTGCAGAACGAACTCACGTCCGCACAGGTGAGTCAGAGACTAACACAGGCTGGTCTCAGTGTTCAGCTGTGGCATGTCCGGGGTTTATCTAGACCAGCTCAGGGCCAGTATTCAAACCCCAATCTGCAGTAAATGGCAGTTCCCAAATTGGAATGAAAAAAACCCTGCACCTGTATCCCATCAAGTTGTGTTATCACGTCTGTCCGAGGCAAGGAAGTTGACTGACTATAAAAGTCCAGTGTCCACCCTTGCCGAACGAACTAGGCTGGAATGCCCTAGTATATCAAAAGAGATTGAGCCACTAAATTCCATTGTAGGTCGGCAAGGGTGGAAACTAGATTTTTGTAGTCAGTTAACTCCCTTGCCTCGGGAAGATGTGTAAGCATTAGGGCTGGGACAAGTCCAAATTTACTACCCGGGTACCCACCCCTCTTTTACCGGACCCTACGTTGGTACCCGCTGTAGGTCTCAAGAGATAGGTACAAACTGTCCGATTTGGAAAAATTTGACCGTAGCCCTGGCAAATAGTATTTAGATACATGTATAAAACGATCTGGTCATGCATACACTGATGTTTACTGCATGAAGTTTTATCTTTTTTTTCAAACATATAAAAGTATGCATGCATAGTCAGAAAGAAATGGGAACATTAGTGACTTGTAGTGTGACCGTACAGTTTTAGATACATTTTGTCATTAAACAATATATCACGTGACTAACCACGGGTCCGGGTAGTCCTGTGGGTACCCGGGTCCTACTCAGAACCCACCCGACCCGAGTACCCGAGTAACCCATCCCATTCCTAGTAAGCATGGCAGTCAAAGCGTCCTCTCTTTGTCAATATTCCTGTCCTTGTCAATATTCCTGTCCTTGTCAATATTCCTGTCCTTGTCAATATTCCTGTCCAAGTGCATGTTATCTGTTATGCATGTTCATATGTAGTCCTCTGTGTCAACTGTATGACAGACTTCCCCAGCATCTTGCATGAATTACATCTTCATCTAGTCAGAATGTCTTCTCTCTTTTGTCTGTGTTTTATTTTGCTACGAATGATTATTGCTCAATGCCACATCAGCAACCGTGTAGCTGTTAGCAGCAATACATTGTAATGAACAATCTTAGCATCCAACAGTTCAACTTTGTATCTCTCAGCAATGACTATGTCCAACTTGTCCAGTGCACACTCTTCTCATCCTTTTGATGAAAGAGTTGACATGCGTAGTCACGTTGCCCCGGTGATGGTACAACTGCTAACTTACAACAGGTGCTTATGCATGTGTACTTCTGGTTTTAAGCGCCTGAAAGAGGAACGTTTGGTAAGACTGTCACTAATTTCACCTACAATACATCTTGTACTTTCTATATGAGGCTTCCCATAGGATTCAGCATTATCGGCTTATAATAAATGATAGGGCTGGGACGATACACCGACTGTATGATCCGTGACGTATCATGAAATCTTGTTCACAAGCCGCTACATATCATGATACCTTGTTCATGATCCGTTACGTATCATGATACCTTGTTCATGATCCGATACGTATCATGATACCTTGTTCATGACCTGATACATATCATACCTTGTTCATGATCTGATACATATCATACCTCCTTGTTCATGATCCTCTATGTACCATGATACCTTGTTCATGGTCCACTATGTACCATGATACCTTGTTCATGATCCTCTATGTACCATGATACCTTGTTCATGATCCGATACGTATCATGATACCTTGTTCATGATCCGATAAGTATCATGATTCCTTGTTCATGAGCCGATACGTATAATGATACCTTGTTCATGAGCCGATACGTATCATGATACCTTGTTCATGATCCGATACATATCATGATACCTTGTTCACAAGCTGCTAGGGGGCACGGGTGGCCCAGTCGTCTAAGGCGCGGCAATTCGCTGTGCAGAGTTGCGTCCCTTGGGCACGCCAGAAACCTATGATTGTGGGTTCGAATCCCGATTCGCCCCGATTATGTTTCTAGGTTTGTCAGCACCATACCCATGCTCGTGGGTTTCACCGAAGTGGTAAACGTCTGAGACCTGCATCACCTCAAGCTTTCCTCCCACATTAAGCTGACACGCCGCGATATAACTGTAATAATGTTAAAAGCAGCGTTAAATCCAACTCACTCACTCACTCACTCACAAGTCGCTACATATCATACCTTGTTCATGATCTGATACGTATCATGATACCTTGTTCATGAGCCGATATGTATCATGATACCTTGTTCATGAGCCGATACGTATCATGATACCTTGTTCACAAGCCGCTACATATCATGATACCTTGTTTATGATCCGATATGTATCATGATACCTTGTTCATGACCCGCTACATATCATGATACCTTGTTCACAAGCCACTACATACCATGATACCTTGTTCATGATCCGATACGTATCATGATACCTTGTTCATGAGCCGATACGTATCATGATACCTTGTTCATGAGCCGATATGCATCATGATACCTTGTTCATGAGCTGATACATATCATGATACCTTGTTCATGATCCGATACATATCATGATACCTTGTTCACAAGCCGCTACATATCATGATACCTTGTTCATGAGCCGATAGGTATCATAATACCTTGATCATGAGCCAATACGTATCATGATACCTTGTTCATGATCCGATACGTATCATGATACCTTGTTCATGAGTCGATACGTATCATGATACCTTGTTCATGATCCTCTATGCACCATGATACCTTGTTCATGATCTGATACATATCATACCTTGTTCATGATCTGATACATATCATAACTTGTTCATGATCCGCTATGTACCATGATACCTTGTTCATGATCCTCTATGTACCATGATACCTTGTTCATGATCCGCTGCGTATTATGATACCTTATTCACGATCCACTACGTATCACGATACTTGCATGTGCTCTTACCTGCTGTGCATAAACCATCTTTTTCAAAGACAGGATGGCCAAATACCTGGCTCAGTGATAATTTACAGTTGCCAGTGTCAAGTATGGCGCAATGATATAAATATTTACATTTTTACTGTTAATTAGTGTTTGGTGTAACAGTTATTACAGAAAACATTTCAGTTATGAATCAATATTTTTACTAAGTGTGTGAATGTGATCTATACTTAAAGTAAAAAATCGTGATCCACCAATGCACGGTGTATCGTTCCACCACTAACAAATGAACAGTTTTTAAGATGGTTTAGATAGATTTTAAGAAATGTTGAACAATATCATGAAATGGATTTGTGATATGAAGAAAATTTTCTCTTTTCATCATGTTCATTGTATTATTACTATGATTACTGTACTGCCTGCTGTGGGAACGCTTGCCCTTTTGTCACAAAATGATCACCTCTTTTCTTAACTCATACCCTGCTCTGTCAGCAGTTTACATATGTGTGCAACTAACACTGGTTATTCTGTGCGTGTCTGTTAGCTCTGTATACTGACACAAGTAATCAATGAATATATCCAACCCTTTCTGTGTGTCTAATCTAAGATAGTTTAGTCTTTCTCCATTCTATGGAATGCATCTTCCCGAGGCAAGGGTGTCAACTGACTACAAAAGTCCAGTTTCCACCCTTGCCGAACTGTGCTGGAATTTTGTGTCTCGATCGTAGCGCCCCCTGTGTCTATGAGTAATGCCCAGCCAAAAAGTAACCCCAGGTGACTAGGTAGACACAATTTTATGGATTACATCTTCATTAATACTGTAAAAAGCGATGTTTCGATGTAGATCCTTATACCGTTGTCAAGCAAGACTGAATGAGGGACATAGTACAGAATATATATAGTAGGTGGAGGATTAACAGTAGAGGACTCCCTCAACACCCTGCTAAGAGCCAACGACAGAAACACAACCAACCCCCAAGAGCCTAAAGGTGTAGTTTACATAATTGACTGCAACTGTGGCCAATCTTACGTAGGTGAAACATCCTGCCCCATCAACACCAGCACAAAACCTCAACCATTAAATCAGACAGTAAATCAGCCATCTCAAACCATATCAGCAACTGTCCTAATCACAACATCAACTGGGACAACTTCCAAATCCTCTCCAACAACCTCTATGATTTCACTATAAGAAAACTAACAGAAGCAGTCCACATTCGCTGCCACAAGCCATTAATCAACAGAGATCAAGGCTATTTCATCCCATCCGCCTACAATGAACTGATCAAGCAATAATCACTTGTCCTGTTTAATTGTCTTCATGTCCCATTGGCTTCCACCTATATGTTCCCTGTCCATCGTGTTGTGACGGTATTATCCTTCTGTTATCAACATTCACTCATGTTATCCCACTCATGTATGCAATTGTCACTGTTAATCCTCCACCTACTATATATATTCTGTACATTGTCCCTCATTCAGTCCTGCTTGACAACGGTATAAGGATCTACATCGAAACATCGCGTTTTACAGTATTAATGAAGATGTTATCCATAAAATTGTGTCTACCTAGTCACCTGGGGTTACTTTTTGGCTGGGCATTACTCCTATTAGAAACAGGGGGCGCTTTGACAGTATTAAAGAAGTTGTTATCCATAAAATTGTGTCTACCTTGTCATCCGTCAACTTCTAAGTAATGCCTATCAAACAATTAAACCCCGGAAGTTTGGCAAAGGTGGAAACTGGACTTTTTCAGTCAGTTCGCTCCCTTGCCTCAGGAAGATGATGGAATGTAGCATCACACACAACTTGACATTTGCCACAGCTTCATGAGTAGACCGTGTACATGTTAATTCATAACTTTCACTGTTGTGATCCTTCTCACAATATGAAATTAATCAGGACCTACTAGAATAATAATGATCCTCTGCTTGTAATTAATATATTAGTAACATTATTTGCATCCATTCTCACTTTGTGTATGTATATTTGGCTAAACAATACTGGCACATATGAGAAATCACACTGAAAGTAAGACTCTTATCTAGCCCATTATTTTGGGATCATTTTGCATTTGGTTTGTTTTTTTCATAGAGTATGTTTTTTGTACTTTAACACTTTTCTTCCTTTTGATACTTGGAATTGTTTTTGTGTGATTTTTTAAAAACTTTTATCATCCCAAACTTGCTTCCACAGGCGATACTGCTTGGGTTAGAGCAAGTGTTTTCTCCAAGGAGATATCGCTGCCATTAAATTGCACCACAATGCTTTGCAGGCCATTGTGTTACCATGACGGCATAATCAAATGACATCACTTATGCCACTGAAGCTGGTTAGCTGTACTTATTATACTCAAGACACTGGTTATTACTGGTTAGAAACTGAAAACGCTGGAAGAATGATTTTGGATGATAAATAGAATCTCACCAGTGTCGTTAGACATGAATTATATCAACACATGTCGATAAAAGTGGGTATGCCTCAGAGTTTTAAACTTTCATCTTGTTTATCAACCTGTGTTGATATATTTTATGTCAAAAGACACTCAGGTAAGACTCTCTACATATCGAGGCCTCCTTTATACATTGTATAGCGCTTCCTACTATCGTAAGGCCGTTTGATTCCCTACAAGTGTAGGTCTTCAGCAAACCATGCTTGCTGTAAGAGGTGACACACGGGTGGTCAAGCTTGTTGACTTGGTTGATGCATGTCATCGTATCCAAAATGCATGGTTGCTGCTCATGATGTCAATCACTGGATTGTCTGGTTGAGACTCTATTATTTACAGACCGCCGTCATTTGGTTGGAATATTGCTGATTGCAGCATTATACAACAAAACAAACATATTTTTAGTTTAATCTGTTTCTTCATCATAATGCAAAAAATATTCACAGCAGTGGATGAAGCGACAAAGTAGTTTATGACTCTCCAATATATTCATAGCCAAGCTTTAAACATCAAGCAAACAAACAAAACATTATATAGCGCTTCCTACTGAAGCCTGTTGTATGCATTATGGTGACATCATGTCAGTCATTTGGAAGTTTGAGGAGAAGACCGTTGCAGACATGTTCCCTCATTGGTGATTACAAAGACCCATATACCTTAACGGTCTAATGATTAATGATTTTACTTGCTGATTGGGCTTGCTTTGTAGGTCTGGTATTTCATCTTCAATTTAATCCTAAAAGTGTACATACTGACTCTTTCTTAATACTGCCTATCATGCGTCATGTTCATAAGCTTGTTGTAGATCAAGGAGTATAAATATCATTGAACCTTTTCGCACTATGACGACAAAAGTGGACAAAAGCCGCCATGCTTATAAGAGGAGATCAGTTGGGCATAGTATTCTCGGAAGAAAGAATAGTGCATGAATTTACAAACCTACTAATGTACACCCTTTCCAGTGAACCTTACAGTTGACCTTGACCTCAGTTCTCGGTCCTGCTATGTACCAAGTTTTATCAAACTGCAACACTTTGTTCATGTTAAGTTCTCTTAGTATCATGTTTCACACCTTGAATTTAGATTGCACTTTGAAAATTAGGTTGATGAAAATGAATCATGTCTTGAAAAGGTTGTACAATTTCCTAACCTGTTTGCTAAGTCAGTAATGGTAAAGTGTGAAACAATTTTAGCCAGACATCATCATGATCATGGTTGATAGTAAACTTTGCATGGACTTTGAATTTTGGGGAGTGAGCCTATTGTGACTAATTCTATGCAAGCCTATAATATCATTTCAAGTGTATTTGACCTTGGATGTCAGTAAGAGCTGCATCGGGTGAACCCTGGAAGTGCATGTTTGTAATGGTAGATGTTGTAGTCCCTTTGTGCACAAAGGAGCTGGAAATATGCAGTTGTCAATCCTGACTAACCATGGATGTCCCTTTCTTTCCCAGGATATGATGGATGCTTTGACGACACAGAACCGAGAGCTCCGCGCCATGCTCATCAGGGCCACTGAGGTCAAGGCCAACTCTGAACATTCCATTGACGCCGATAATGAGTCGAAGAGAGACGGTGTGGTTAGTTTCACTGTTATTCTGTTCACTAACGTACAGCTTGTCAAGTCCTGTACATCTCGCTGGTTGCTATAGTAAAGCGTTGTATTTGGAAGTCTGGAACACAACCAGAAGGGATCAGTGGGCTCAGACATTTGCAACTCAAGTACGCATATATTGAGGATATGAAATAGTTACTTGCCACTATATATATATAAATACTTGCCACTGAAGGCAAATGCCTTGTCCTGGTTTGGAACATCCCAGTGGGGAAGAACCAGTGAATAGGCGTTCATCAACCCATGCTTGCCCTAAAAGGCTACTATGCTTGTCGAAAGAGGCGGCTAACGGGATCAGGTGGTCAGGCTCACTGATTTGGTTGATGCATGTCATCATATCCCAACTGCGTGGACTGATGCTCATGATATCAATGACTAGACTGTCTTAATGTAGCTGGAATATTGCTGAGTGTTGCATTAAACAACAACCAAAACAAAAACAAACAAAAAAACATCCAAGGAAGAATAGATCCCCAGTATCCCATTCTTGTTGTAAAAGCCAAAAAGAGAGTTTGGGTGATGGAACTTTGTGACAGGGTTATTGTACCACGATGGCATGGATTGTCTTGTTCTGATAGTCCTTGATTGTCTGGTCCAGACTTGATATTTTTACAGGCGGTCGTGATATAGCTGGACTATTGCGGACAGTGGCATCAAACAACATTCACTCACTTGACTCAGTCTACGCAGCGGAATTCAACTGTTTTTCTGTTTCAGATGGAGTCTCTACAGTCGACAATCCAGCAACTGGAGAGTGAGCGTAGTCAGCTGGTGGATAACCTGCGAGAGCAGAGGGACCTCTCCGACAGCCTCGGGATCAAGGTGGCCGATCTACAGGAGGAGATTCTTAGGAAAAGTGAGGCCTGCTTCAAAGTGAAATATTTGTTTTTAGAGATATATAGGCTCTTTATTCATCACATCTCCAGGGACTTTATGAATTGAAAGGCTCCATGACTATTTAGATTGCCTTGTACATGTTGTAGAAGTGTATCGTTTATCAAAATTTTACCTGTTGACATACACTTGTCTTCTTTTAGAAGTAACAAGTCTGATAAGATAAATTGGGAAATTTTTAGTTATTTCGATGTTTGTTATTATTATTTACTATATTGTTTACTTTAATAGATGTAGAGCGCAGTAATGATACAATTGTTATGCATCTGAAGATGTGGTATCCATGAGGAGATGGCCTGACAATATGGTGACAATGCCATTATATATCTGGGTGTGTTGGTGCTCAGCTGGCCTTAAGAGAAAATATTTAAGCCAGTAGTATTTACGCTGAATTGACATCTAGAGGATTTGTTAAAATTGATACTCCATGTTCCATGTTTACCAAATGAGGTCCAAAAATATTTTTTTTTAATCATTTCCATTTATTTGTAGTCTGAGTCTTAGCATGGTTATTAGCGCTGGTGTCCATTGACTTAGCCTGTTAACTGTGTCTGTTCTCTGTGACTGTTAACTGTGGCCTTACACTGTCTCCATTCACAGTCTCCCTTTTCTGTGTCCATTTTGGGGGGGTTGGGGTGGGGGGTGGAAGCCTTATTGTTAGAGCATTTGCTCGTCTCACCAAAGACCCGGGTTCGATTCCCCACATGGGTACAATGTGTGAAGCCCATTTCTGGTGTTCCCTGCCGTGATATTGCTGGAATATTGCTAAAAGTGGCGTAAAACCATACTCACTCACTGTCTCCGGTCACTGTCTCCCGACTGATGCTTCTATGATTCTTCTTTTTCAGATCAAATGAATTTTGATAACGACATCATCACAAGAGCAGATTATGACCAGTTGAAAATGGCTTTGGAGATGATTCAGGTGAGCTTAACATAAATCAAATCACATAATTCATAAACATATTAACCACATATTGTACTGTGTCAATAATGATGATAATTAGTGCCGGTATTAACTCACATATTGTGGTCCTCACCTCTACAGTTCAAGGAACTGTTTGTCCTGATGTCAGGGACCAAGCATTTCATACTCTCAGGGATGTTTGTAAGAGACAGAATATGTTTTTTCTGCAACACATTATGTGTTATGGAATGAATTGCCCTCTCCAGATATATCAAATGGCCGGTATCTCATTATTTACTGATGGTTGGTTCAGAAATTTGAAGTTTTATTTTCTTTGTTTCAGGATAAGTATTCTCGCGTGATGCGGGACAAGGCGGAGTTGACAGACAAGGCGGACATGTTGGAGCACATGGTGACTCAGCTACAGGGGGAGACAGACACTATAGGTAAACATACCTGCCCCCTTCAAGTCAACAGGGGGGGCACGGGTGGCCCAGTCATCTACAGTGCCGCGATTTGCTGTGCAGAGTTGCATCCCTTGGGCACGCCAGAAACCTATGATTGTGGGTTTCGAATCCCGCTTCCCCCCGATAATGTTTCTAGGTTTGTCAGCACCATACCCGTGCTCGTGGGTTTCACCGAAGTGGTAAACGTCTGAAACCTGCATCACTTCGGGCTTTCCTCCAACATTAAGCTGACTTGCCATGATATGACTGGAATACTGTTAAAAGCGGTGTGAAACCCAACTCACTCACTCACTCAAGTCAACAATTTGTTGCACAGTTTGCTTATTGAACATGTTGAACGGCCTTAAGCTCCAAACATGTCTCCGCAATGCAGGATGAAGTGACAATTACCTTTTCATTGAAAAAAAGAATCACACATCGATTCATCGTGATCTATGTAACAACTATCGTCGGGTCATAGGTTTCTGGACGTCATACGTTTTCGGATGGCCATGTTTATCGTGATTACTTGAGCTATAACGGTTGGTGTAGCATCACACAGACATTGTACATACCCAGATGATGGCAAGTTTTCAAGAGATAGTTGTCTTTACTAAGTGATTGAGATGTTTAACACTTGTTCATGTGATAAGAGAGAATACTACGATTGTTCTTAAGCGCCTGAAAACCTATAACTCGGGGATATATACAGACAGCGTATCTATTTTAATTTTCCTCTCATTGTTTATTTCAATGGGGCACGCCAGGAACCTGTGATCATGTGTTTGAATCCTGGTTTGCCTCGATAATGTTTCTTGGTTTGTTCTGCTCTTGGGTTTCACCAAAGTTGTTAATGTCGAAGACCGGCATCAGAATTCCGCCCACATTAAGCTGAAACTCTGTGATATAACTGGAATACTGTTAGCGTGAAGCCCCACTCACTCACTCACTAACTGACCTGTGAAGATCCGGGCTAGAATAGGTCTTCAGCAACCCATTCTTGCATCAAAGGCGACTATGCTTGTCGTAACAGGCGACTAACATGATCGCGTGGTCAGGCTAGCTGACTTGGTTGATGCATGTCATCGTATTTCAGTTGTGTGGATTGATGCTCATATGTCAATCACTGGATTGTCTCGTTCAGACTCGATTATTTACAGACTGCCGTCATATAATTGGAATATTGCTGAGAGCGGCGTTAAACAACTCAACTCAACTCAAAAACAAACACTCACTAACTATATGTCATTAACTGATTTGCATCATTGAATGAAGTTACAAGTGCTTAATTATTGGTTGTATGAACAATGCCTTGCCATAAATGTGTTTAATAAATACAGCTGTTGGGAAGTAAAAACCTCTGGTCAGAACATTTGTAGGATGTGGATGTACTGCTTCAGTCCTCGGTCGCCAGAATGTACACAAAGTACTTCGTGTGCTGTGAGCTGTATAATCTTGTTCTGTGTTGTAGGTGAATACATCTCCCTGTACCACCACCAGAGGGCACTGCTCCAGCAGCGGGAACATCAGAAGAACGATTACATCACCCAACTGGCCCGGGATAGGGAGGAAATGCAGGTATGAGGTGTACTCAAGCCCCTTTACAAGGGCACCAAGACGGGACCAACAGTTGAGGCCACTGCGATTGTATGTGACTGTATATCTCTGACCTGTATGTGACTGTGTGTCTCTGACCTGTATGTGACTGTATGTCTCTGACCTGTATGTGACTGTATATCTCTGACCTGTATGTGACTGTGTGTCTCTGACCTGTATGTGACTATGTGTCTCTGACCTGTATGTGACTGTATGTCTCTGACCTGTATGTGACTGTGTGTCTCTGACCTGTATGTGACTGTGTGTCTCTGACCTGTATGTGACTGTGTGTCTCTGACCTGTATGTGACTGTGTGTCTCTGACCTGTATGTGACTGTATGTCTCTGACCTGTATGTGACTGTGTGTCTCTGACCTGTATGTGACTGTATATCTCTGACCTGTATGTGACTGTATGTCTCTGACCTGTATGTGACTGTGTGTCTCTGACCTGTATGTGACTGTATATCTCTGACCTGTATGTGACTGTATATCTCTGACCTGTATGTGAATGTACGTCTCTGACCTGTATGTGACTGTATATCTCTGACCTGTATGTGACTGTATATCTCTGACCTGTATGTGAATGTACGTCTCTGACCTGTATGTGACTCTATATCTCTGACCTGTATGTGACTGTGTGTCTCTGACCTGTATGTCTCTGATCTGTATGTGCCTGTATGTCTCTGACCTGTATGTGACTGTATATCTCTGACCTGTATATCTCTGACCTGTATGTGACTGTGTGTCTCTGACCTGTATGTGACTGTATGTCTCTGATCTGTATGTGACTGTGTGTCTCTGACCTGTATGTGACTGTGTGTCTCTGACCTGTATGTGACTGTGGGTCTCTGACCTGTATGTGACTGTGTGTCTCTGACCTGTATGTGACTGTATGTCTCTGACCTGTATGTGACTGTGTGTCTCTGACCTGTATGTGACTGTATATCTCTGACCTGTATGTGACTGTATGTGTCTGACCTGTATGTGACTGTATGTCTCTGACCTGTATGTGACTGTATATCTCTGACCTGTATGTGACTGTATATCTCTGACCTGTATGTGACTGTATATCTCTGACCTGTATGTGACTGTATGTCTCTGACCTGTATGTGACTATGTGTCTCTGACCTGTATGTGACTATGTGTCTATGACCTGTATGTGACTGTGCCTCTGACCTGTATGTGACTGTATTTCTCTGACCTGTATGTGACTGTATATCTCTGACTTGTGTTGCAGAGTAAGCTAGATCAGGCCAATGACCTGTATGTGATGTATATCTGACCTGTATGTAACTGTATATCTGACCTGTATGTGATGTATATCTGAACTGTATGTAACTGTATATCTGACCTGTACGTGATGTATATCTGACATGTATGTAACTGTATATCTGACCTGTACGTGATGTATATCTGACCTGTATGTAACTGTATATCTAACCTGAATGTGACTGTATACCTGACCTGTATGTGATGTATATCTGACCTGTATGTAACTGTATATCTGACCTGTAAGTGATGTATATCTGACCTGTACGTGATGTATATCTGACATGTATGTGATGTATATCTGATCTGTATTGCAGGGTAAGCTAGACCAGGCCAATGACCTGTATGTGATGTATATCTGACCTGTATGTGATGTGTATCTGACCTGTATGTGACTGTATATCTGACCTGTATGTAATGTATATCTGACCTGTATGTGACTGTATGTCTCTGACCTGTATGTGACTATGTGTCTATGACCTGTATGTGACTATGTGTCTATGACCTGTATGTGACTGTGCCTCTGACCTGTATGTGACTGTATTTCTCTGACCTGTATGTGACTGTATATCTCTGACTTGTGTTGCAGAGTAAGCTAGATCAGGCCAATGACCTGTATGTGATGTTTATCTGACCTGTATGTAACTGTATATCTGACCTGTATGTAACTGTATATCTGACCTGTATGTGATGTATATCTGACCTGTATGTGACTGTATACCTGACCTGTATGTGATGTATATCTGACCTGTATGTGATGTATATCTGACCTGTATGTGATGTATATCTGACCTGTATGTGACTGTATATCTGACCTGTATGTGACTGTATATCTTACCTGTATGTGATGTATATCTGACCTGTATGTGATGTATATCTGACCTGCATGTGACTTTATACCTGACATCTATGTGATGTATATCTGACCTGTATGAGATGTATATCTGACCTGAATGTGACTGTATACCTGACCTGTATGTGATGTATATCTGACCTGTATGTGACTGTATACCTGACCTGTATGTGATGTATATCTGACCTGTATGTGACTGTATATCTGACCTGTATGTGATGTATATCTGACCTGTATGTGATGTATGTCTGTGTTGCAGGGTAAGCTGGGCCAGGCTACTGACCTTGTACGTGATGTGTATCTGTGTTGCAGGGTAAGCTGGGCCAGGCTACTGACCTTGTACGTGATGTGTATCTGTGTTGCAGGGTAAGCTGGGCCAGGCTACTGACCTGTATGTGATGTGTATCTGTGTTGCAGGGTAAGCTGGGCCAGGCTACTGACCTGTATGTGATGTGTATCTGTGTTGCAGGGTAAGCTGGGCCAGCTCCAGGCCCTAGTGATGCAGCTGCTGGGAGAGAGGAACATGCTCCACAGCTACACAGAGGAGGCCTCCAGACCCGCCGACATCTCCGACCTCGAGCCACATCTCAACTCCTCCCTTGCACACAAACAGGGCCACAAGCATCACCATCATAGGAGTGCAATGACAAATGGCGTCAACAATAACTATGGTAAGATTCTGACAATTTAATAAGCTATCCTGGGAAGTTTGCCTTGCTTGTCTCAAGAGTAAGGCAGTGAGATAGTCAGCGCTGACTACATGTGTTTCTTATGCTGACTTTGAACCTTTCATACAAGGTCTTCAAAATTTGTTTTTGGTCCATGTAATAAAAATGCTTTTATGCTTTGATGAGCTTGATGAAATATTATAGGATTTACATTAATTTATTTCATTTGATTCCAATTCTGTGAAGATTCAGGTTAGAGTTGGTCTTCAGCAACCCATGTTTGTCGCAAGTGGCAACTAACAGGATCACTCGCCGACTTGGTTGATTCATGTCATCGTATGCCAATTGTGTAGATCAATTCTCATGATATCAGTCACTTGATTATCTGGTCCAGACTTGATTATTACAGACCGCTGTCATATAGCTGGAATATAACTGAGTGTGACAAACAAACAAACAAATCATTTGATGCCCTGTATAAATTTCTAAAAGCTACTTTGGCTAAGGAGTACTTGAGTGCTGTGGCATCAGCCTGTGACAAGAACTTGTTTGCTTTTAGTCTGATTTCGTGTTTATGTATCGTTTCCTAAAGATTTTAGTGTCAATGTTTGGACTATGATTAACTGTTCTCACTGGATGGGAAATTTCACACGCTGTTGTGGAGTCTTTGATTTCCAAAGTTTTCTGTTCTTTCTGTTAGATTGGCCCGACTACACAAGCTCGGAGAGCGACAGCGAGAGTGAGGTAGAGCCTATAGTGGGGGGGACCCATGACACCGACTCGGCCACACCCACTGAAGAAATCAACCAACCAATGTTAACCGACACTCCATCCCCCGACCAATCACTAAACACAGAGGACACAGACATGAATATTCATAAGGAAAACCATGCACACGGCACCAAACATATGCATCGAACACTCCCCGAGGAGGACCAAACCGCACACCGAATTCTTCATTTACTGTCGGAAATCGGCCATTCCAATCTGGTGGAGAAACCTCCTTTCACAGAAAGAAACTTCCTACCCTGCAAGTTCTGTCAAGGGCCTATCCATATTGTTTAACAGATGCACAATCTCTGTAGATATGTACATACACTGTAAGATATTGTATAGACAAGACGACTGGGTTGGGCTATGCTGGAAACCCACGCCACAAAACTACCTGCTTTGTTTGTGTGAAGCAGATCAGTAACCATGCCTTGACTCACAAACTGACCATTTCAGCGTTGTCTGGATGTAGGGTCGGAATACAGCACTCTCTGGGAATGGTCGGAAGAACATTGTGGATGTGTGTGTTGGTTACCTTCAGGTTTCAGGATTGATCGAGTATTAGAAGTCTTGTTAGAAAGTCTGAATGGTCGTGTGTACTATACTGCAATACGACAGATGCTGTAAATATGTTTCTTCTAGGAAGAATTGTCTGTTCAAAACAGAATGTATGTACTGATGCTGACTTTTAGCTCAGACGAAGATGTTTGACAGAAAACTTGAGTGTAAAGTTAGAGAACTGTTTTGCCCTGGTTGTACATGCCTCTGTACGTGACACTGCTCGGAATTGCATCATTCTGAAGTGGAAGAATCTTCTGACTGCCATGTTTTCTCGTCTTTGTCAAGTTATGGACACAATTATGTCATCATATATTGGGTGTGTCATAGATTTGCTTTGAGTGGGCTCATAGCTTCTAATGTGATTGCTTTTATGTTGTTATGGTCATTGAATTGTCCATTTGCAACACGAAGTTGTTGGTTAGAAGGATCCATTTGAGGCCGCAAATACAATTCATTTCGTCAAAATCCTGCATTAAATATCAGTCAACTTTAGTCATCGAGGAGATGTGAATAAGAAATTATACAGAAAATAATATAAATTATTATAATGAATGTATATGTGTAATTGAAATCTTTTTCATCAGTCACTTTATACGAAAATGTTAAAATTATCCAACCAAATGATTGTCAAAGAGGGTAATTTATTTCACATGCTTAATTAGTCATTACATAGCTTGTACTCTTGTTTGTACGAATGACTGTCATCAGTTTTATTTCTCATTGTTAGAACTACCATATTTGCCGTATTAAGCACCCTACTCCGAAAGGTCATTTTTTATTATCGCCACCTACTTGATGTGACAGTCTGTATTTGTTTTGTGTATTTTAAGGAAAAATCACTCTAGGTGTGTAGTGTTTGTAATTGTCTACCATTATCAAAAAGGTTTAAGTGCCATCGATGTTTGAACTATGTTTGTCCACTACCGCTCATTGTCTGAAAATAATCTAAGTTGTCAACTTATCTCGAGGGGCATGTGGTGTGATGTACCTTGTGTGTGAGCCTATATACCCCGAGCCATCATTCATTCCTACAGACACGGAATATATGTCCGAACTTTCACTGAGTAAAACTGTTTGATTCAGCCATTTTGATAAATAAACTGAGTTACTTCCCTTTACCCAATGCATTCGGATAAACAGTTCATTTCAGCTCAACGATACTTATGCAAGATAAGCAAATTACCTAAGGTGTGTTCCAATTGATTTCTCAGTGGTCAACATGAGCAGGCACCATGGAAAATAATTGCCTTCTTCTTATGCAATACAGAAGCTAGTACTTTAATATAAGGTGAGATAAATTAATTTGTTTAATGGTTTTAATAATATCCCCTCTGAGGCGTATTACGGCTAATATGGTATATATTTTTTTCTCAAAATTATTCTATGTGCATGCACCATCTGGAAATCAAATACCTACTTTCACATTGTGTAGAACTGGAACTATTTGGCCTTGTGTGGATCTAATATTCAGGAAGTGCTTTCCATGTATCCACACAGTATTTTGTGGTAAGGGTTGCAAATAATATCAGTAGTTCATCATTGTTACCACCTAGTTACAATGCAATGTATGCAGCATTATTCATTTGCTTTCAATATGTACAGCACCGGAGGGAGACGCTGCTGCTGCCATTGTCAGAATTAGTGATGTTGCCATTCACCGGAACACAGGTGCATCGTCTGCAAACTTTGCACGATACTATACCCGATACACTTAATTTGGCATCGATTCACATTTATTCCCATATTGTTTGTCCTTGTGGATCTTGCATCGATATCAATAAGCAAGTACAGACTATTTTTGTAATTCTTCATAACTTTCTTGATCGTCTTTCGGATACAAAACTGGCCCAATAACAAGACTGACCAGCTTTTCCTTGCTGCCTGTCATAATACACTATGTTAAGTTGTTTGTTTCTTATTATTTTCTCATACAGAATAGTTGGCTTAACTAATGTGCCATGTCGATGGGTATTAATCCGCTGTCCTTCTTTCCCTTTATGAGGAAGTCTATGGACTCTATTCTCAGTCTAATGACTGGGTTTTCCGCACAAAATGTTGTATATGCAGTATTAAGATACGTATCATGGTTTAGTATCGAGATATGTATTGTGTGACCTCTGTAACGTTGCATCCCTACCACAATCCTTTTATAGTTGGTTTGAATCCTAGAACCGCCCTGATTATTATTCTTGCTTTGTCAGCACAACACCTGTGGGTTTGGCCCAAGTGTTAGATATCTAAGACCTGCATCACTTAAATTTTGCTTCTACATTGTGTGGACACACCCTGAAATGACAGATAATGTCCAAAGCAGCATTATCCCAACTAGCTCACTCATTGCATCACATCTCTGCCATCGTAAGTTACTGTTCAATCTATAAAGACGATCAAGTCGATTTAATTAACAACCGTAACTCTTTTTCTTTTTACATCTTTACCATTAATTTGGTTTGTTAAAAAAGGGATTGAATAGGGTTGATGTGTCACTAACATAGTCAGTGAAACAACAGGTGCCCCGGTACCCCTGAGACCACATGTGTGCACCTTTCCCTGGAACCCCTACCCCCATCCCACCCTGTCCCACCCCACCCCACCCCTTCCCTCCCCAAGTCCATACCTCAAAGGGACAAGCAATTCTCTCTGATGTGGCATAGCATCAGAGAGAAGCTACAGCTTGGCTATATACACCCATAAACACAACCCTTCAGTTTTTCCCACAAGTACTGCATGAAGTGCTGTCCTACAGCTTATGAGTACCGGTAATGTGAGGTTGTTGTTTGTGTGGCTGGGTCCAGTGCTGAATACTGCTGCATGTGTTTGAACGGCTTTGAGATGGTGGTGGAGTCTGTGATAGTGCAGCTCCACTGTTTCTGTGATCTGTAGCTTATGTTGTAATTTTGTTGATCTTCCCTTGTGCACGTGAATGCAAGAGAGAGCCCACAAGAATTTTGTTATAAACAAAGTTGTTGATATGTCTCCACAAATGGTTCATTTTGCTGTTGCTCCTGGCAAATACTTGTGATGAACCTGTGAAAGAGAGGAATTTCAAACTTCTCGGCATTACGGAAGCTATGGTGCAGAAATGATCCTTTGAGTATGGAAGCTGATTATGAGCCAAGTGTGGCCTCAAGGCAGTCTGTCTGTGTATGCATGCACCAATCACTCTAACATGGTATCACTACCATGCACATTGCTGATCTAGCTATCCTCATATTTGATCTTTTCTAGAGAATGTGAATGTGTACCTAGTTATTGAAGGTTCCTGCACTAAATAAGATGTCCCTATAACACAAATCACAACTCTTCCCCGGGAACATAATGGACAGAGATGCTGGTTCATTATCATCATGGCCGACAGCTTGGATCATTCCTATGTTTTGCTGGTGATGGTGGTGATGACACCCAGTGATGATGATGAACCATCATCTAATAATAGGCTTTTCTATCTTGCTGTCTCATAGATATGATTGTCATGTCCATTCCTGCTGCAGTGAAATGATAATGCTGTCTACTCACTCACTTGAGACTGATGTGAAAAAAGGCAAAAGCAAATGGAAGGTAGTTGCTTCAAATGGGGGAGAAATTTGGCAGTTTCGGTATTTTGTGTTCACTATGCCAAATTTGTTACCCTGACCAATGTGATCATGGCTTGAAGTTTGTTTCATTGTGGGGATATCTCTTTTCTTTTGTTGGAGTGGTTTCGTAGTGGTGAAAGGGATGTTTTCAAGGGTTTGTTTATAGTTCCACAATGATATCTTTTGTTTTGCGAATGTATACTCCGAGTATATGCTGTAAGGCAGTCCATGCTATAGGTAATGGCTTGTTAATCAACTTATCCAGCACATCCTCCCCCTCAGCAGGGTAATGCACTTCCATTTGCCCCGATTCTTACAATTCTTCAGTCCATGATCAAACTACACACCATGCAAGCGATGGTAAAGTGTAATTGATAAAACATGCATTTAGTCAGTTTCTTGTCTTGTCATTATTAAACATATTTTTCCAAATTTAATATGGGTCCAATGTGTGAAGCCCATGATTCCTTGTGTCCCCCGCTATGATGTTGCTAAAAGTGGCATAAAACCATACTCACTCACTCAGAATTTAGTATGTAAAGGTCCCCAAAACTACAGTAATTGTTTATCTTACAACAGAGGGTTGTGCAATAGTGTTGCACAGAGATTAGTCACATTTACACATTATTTTGGTCACTTATCACATTTCATTCTATTCTTTTCAATTTTGAAAACACATATGAATTCAAAGTGTTATTCAAAATGTAAGTTGACTTTGGGTTGGAAGTGGGGGTTTTTTCGTGAAAAAATAGGCATTGCTGTCTGATGTTTGAATTGGAAAATGATGGGAATGTTTTTCACTGTGAATTAATCAGTACATTTGTAGTTTCTTCTGTCTCTGTCTGCCATATTTCATAATAACCTTTTTTCATACCTTTCAAACCTTTGGACGATATTGTAACACTGACGTTTTAAAAACATGACACTACCGTCTTACAAAATATTGATGTTATTGCGTTGATGTAGAGATGTCAATCAATTGGCGTTGCAACACCAGTGGATTTAACACATGCTATTCAAACATGCAGGAATTATTTTTCATCAAGTTTTAGTCTGGAAGATCTGTCACAGAAATCCTCCAAGGTGACCTTGGTTTGGGCAGGATTGCAGTGATGTCTGGTTTCGATCAGGCCCTGCAGTTTCTCTTCTTCAGCCTCCAGATTCCTCCTTTTGATTACTCCCATAGTTACAGTGTCTCACTTCTATACATCAAACAAGAACTTCATAATGTAGACGTAAGCTGGGAGCACAGGTGGCCCAGTCCTCTAACGTGATGCAATTTTGTAGGTTTGAATCCAGGTTAACCCCGATTGTGTTTCTAGGTTTGTCAGCACCATACCTGTGCTCATGTGTTTCACCAAAGTGGTAAACGTCTGAGACCTGCATCATTTCTGGTGTGTCCCACATCAAGCTGACACACCGTAATATGACTGGAATACTGTTCAAAGCGGCGTTAAACCCAACTAACTCACAGTAGACCCAAACTGGGCACCAGTCATGAAATCTAACCCTTGGGCTTCTTATAATCCTGGGTGCAAAGGCCGCCCAGTCATCTAAGGCACTGCAGTATGCTATGACATCTTTGATCGTCAGTTCAAATCCAGGTTTGTCCTCATTATGTTCTAGGTTTGACAGCACCATACTCTGCTCGTGGGTTTCACCAAAGTGAACGTCTATAACATGCATCACGTCAGGCCTCTCTCCCACATCCAGCTGGCATGCTGTGATATAACTATAATACTGTTCAAAGCTGTGGTAGACCATACCCACTCACTGTTAAATTACTTAAACTGCATTTATGGAAAAAAATTATCATTGGCTTTAGATAGGCCCACTACACATGATTTAACATGTTTAGTAGTTACTTGTATTGGCTGATCACAAGTACCTTGTATCAGTTGGGCTTGAACTGATTTTTACATCTGGAAGTGGTTCCATGTGTTTGGTTCTGACATTAACTTACGGTTCTCCCAAATGGAGTTTCATTTCAGTTTTTGTAAAAATGCATTGCTCATTTTCAGTTTCAAACCTGGATCAATTTTTACTGACACTGGTTAATATGTATTTTATTTATTTATGCATGCAAGGTTGGGAATATGTACTAAAAGAATGAAATAATGGATGCATATTTATATTGTTATGTAATATATTATGTCAAATATATTTCCAGATACATCATCTTAACCTTGCTGTTTGTTGTATGTTCAGGGTGTGGGAGACACATCTTTGTTAATAACACCATGTATCCCTGTGGGGAATGTGGGGAACAGGAAGTCTCCAGTGCCTGATGCTTTGTGTAAAGACGATGTGCTGACTAAAGAGGATTGGGTGGCAAAAGTGTGAGTCCTGGACCCACTTGCACAAAGCAATCTTAGCGCTAAGATGATTGTAACTCCCATACTTTAACATAGGCTTACGATATTCATCGCGCTAAGATCCCTTTGTGCATGTGGGCCCTGGTGGAGCGTGTGTCATCTGACAGTCAGGGCTACTTGTTTTTCCTCTCCCAGGCAGAATTACTCTTCTGTGATTTGCTAATTGTGTGTTGTCCATGATATGGTTGGATAGTGCTGATTTGGGGTTGTGTTACAGTTTCTATAGTTACAAGAACATGCCGAATGCACAACGGCATCTTCCAGAGGCAAGAGAATTAACCGACTGTAAAAGTCAAGTTTCCACCCTTGCCGAAAAAGGCTTGAATTTTTGGGATCGATCGTAGCGCAATCAGTGGTTATAACTAGTTATGTCCCTTCTATATCCCTCCTGCTGACCAATCAGATTCCACTTTTCATATCACTTGCAGTTGCTTCAAACAAAATGGTGGCGCCCAGTCAAGATGATCTGATCGATATTGTAATAAAACAGGTCTTACTTCGCAAAGTGCATTAAATCACGTGAGCACCTTGATTAAAAACATGTACAGCCGAGTTGGAGGTACACATGCTTTGCAAATCCTGCAATCGACCGAAATCTGCACAGCAGTTTAGGCAACAGATGTGGTTATGCAATTGTGATTGAACTATGCATCGACTTGTTAGTCCAGCCAAAATATTTTATTCTGAAATTAAATCACACATCTTTCAATACATATTCATGAAGACATCTCGACTTTAAGGTCGGGATTCACAATTTGCACTTGTGTATTAATGCACAGCACACAATTCTGATTTTTGCGTGTTGTTGGGAGCATGATGCACGTTTTAACGTGAACAGCACTCAACGATTGTGTTTAGCTATCAGGTGCTCAAAACAACACGTTTGTTTAACCATAACTAACGCTTACACACTGCCACAGCTTGCTGAAAATCAACGTCTACTCGCCGAGGGTATGCTGCAAACAGGAATGACAAAACAAAAGACGTTAGATGGTACTTGCTGTTGCCTTGTCTGTCGCATCGACCGGTCGGCTCGGAGTCCGTATACTTTGTATGAGTGGGGTATTCATGTTAAACTGCCGCACAGTATCACAATGGCAATCTCAATAGCACTATAAAACCGGCATAAGTCCGGACTAGTACAAGCAGACACCCCCACACACACGTGCATGCACGTCGCTGTATAAGTGCTATAATCTAGGACGCGACGTTGACCCCTTTTCCCCTCACATCACCGTCAAGATTAAGCTCCTACACAGGTCCAAACAGTGCACTCTTCTCTCCCACAGAGATCCGACCACAGACATGATCATGCAGACCCTGCATCAACACTGTACAGAAACTGCCTCACGACACCTACAAGATGGACACTGCCTACAAGATAGCTCATTGGAACTTGGTCATTTGTGTTTATTTACACGGAGTCAATCCAAGATACATATTGTGGGACTGTTAATAAGTGCAACCAAGTATATGCTTGATCAAAGCCTGTAATTTACAGTAAAGTACGGTTATAACGAACTCAAAGGGACTCCTAATTTTAGTTCGTTATAACCGTAGTTCGTTATAAGCATATATACAGCATAACTACAGCAAATAGTCGGGACCAAAAAAGTAAGTTCGTTATATCCGTCAGTTCGTTATAACCGTAGTTTACTGTATTGCCAAAATGTTTTCGTTCCAAAGTACATTATTGTATGTGCGCAATATACTCAATATACTCAAAATTACATTTTAGTCAAGATAGATCTATGAAGTTAGGGAGTAGGACATCTTTGAAATGTATCGAGACCACTCCAGGCAAAAATACAGGTAGGGCCCAATCAAGCCTAAGCTGAAGGGTTACCTGAGGTCAGTTCATGATATGGTTGAAGTCCTTGTGCAACAAATATAACTATGCAAGGAGTGAGTGAGTGATCATCTAGCCAGTTGGCAAAATAACTTTTATACACGCCAAGCCATCGACTTGGTGTTTTTCACTTCCTACCGAGAACTGTACGTCGACCCAGTGCATATACGAGTATGAAAATAATCATCCACAACGATACGTGTGTCTCCAATACACGTGCAGCAAACGCGGTGTTTTTATTGTAAAGGTGCAATCACCCAAGACAGACGACGTTTGAGATGACTTGATAAAAAATGGGCTATGCACCCTCTGAAGGTCAAATAATCGTTTCTACGGCGTGGCCAGAGTGGATCTGGACTAATCTGAAAACATTACACGAGTCTATCGGCAATTTCACCAGTTTACACGCTCCAAAGACCATTGGAATCTGGCTAGAAAGTGCCGATTTGTTAACACGTGACGACCGAGCATTCAGATTGCATGCAGACGATTTCTCACCGTCTAGTCAGTAACCTCAACTCTGGTTGTCTGGCGCAAGTGCACAGCGATTTGATTGGCTGTCTGGGCTCGAACCAAAGTCATCAAATCACCGATTGAGACACATTTAACATACTGGCTATCTCTCGCCGAGTTCTACCAGTGTGGAGAATGGCATAGTCCCAAGGCGTCCATCAGGTTGTGGACGACGTACGAGGGCTGGTAAAAAAGTTCTAAGCCTAACAAACAAAATCAACAATTGTGAAAGTGTTTTTAATTTTATTTTACAACATAATCTCCCCGCTTTTCAATACACTTCTCATATCGATAGTGAAGCTTTTCAATTCCAGTCAGGAAGAAGTTTTCTGAAGACACCCTGAAAACCAATTCACGGCAGCTTGGAGGTCATCGTTGTCGTCATAGCGCTTTATCACCTGGTGCCAGGTCTGGCAAGTATGGAGGGTGAGGAAGCTCTTCGAACCCACATTGTCGCACAGCAGCCTTTGCAAGTCGAGAGGTGTGAGAAGAGGCATTGTCATGAAATAGTTGAACTCCAGCAGTCAGCATTCCTCGACGCTTTTCTTTGATAGAATCTCTCGGAGATGAAGCAAATCAGCACAGTTGGCACCGGTAATCGTCTTTTGACTTTCTACGTTCACAACAAGGATCACACCCTTTGCATCCAAGAACACCGTGGCCATAACTTTCCTCACTGATGTTGAAGACTTAAATTCTTTGGTGACGGAGAAGTGGAATGGTGCTGTTCCATGGATTGATATTTTGACCCGGGATCATAGTGGTAGACTCATGTTTCATCACCCGTTACTCATCTCTTTTTGAATTTGACGAAATCCTCTTCAATTAGCTCTAACTTTTCTCTTTTTTCCTTAAGATCAGAAGTTAGAAACATTGGCACCCAACGAGCAGCTGTCTTATTCATTTGTAGTTACAATGGACCCATGGCTTAGACCTATGACTTACTCAATTTCTGCAATGGCAGTACCTCTATCTGACAGTATAAGTTTTTCTATCTCCTTGATTGAATCTTCATTGATGGAAGTTGAGGGACGTCCAGATCTAGGGTCATCATCAAGTCTTGTTCTCCCAGCCTTAAACAGAGCTGCATGCCCAACGTTTAACAGTGGAGTAGCTAGGGCACCTTCCCCATACCCTTGTGACATGTGGTCAGGAATTTCATGGGGAGTACTTTTCTCTGAAGTAAAAACTTAATGACTGCTCGATACTCGTTTTTTTTCCATTTCTGTGTCCATTTGGACCCCTATCACGTTCAACCGGTTTTCACTAATATACAAACGGCCTCAAGAGACAAAATACACTTGCAATGAACTACTCAAACAGTGTACTAGATTGGCTAGTTCACTTTGTTCCAGCCCACAGTTGAAAGTTGGTCAGGCTTAGAACTTTTTTACCAGCCGTGATCTGATCACAAATACTGCATTAAAGCAAGAGCTTTCGTGGTACTATCGATAATGAAAATCAACAATACAATGGTTCAGAGCGTGTTGGTTGGTTGGTTGGTTTGTTGCTTAACGCCGCACTCAGCAATATTCCAGCTATATGACGGTGTTCTGTAAATAATCGAGTCTGGACCAGACAATCCAGTGATTGATATCATGAGCATCAATCCACGCAATTTGGATCGATGACATGCATCAACCAAGTCAGCGAGCCTGACCACCCGATCCCGTTAGTCGCCTTTTACGACAAGCACAGTCGCCTTTTACGGCAAGACCTATTCTACCCCGGATCTTCACGGGTCTCAGAGCGAGTTGGCGACCTTTCACCAAGAGACAAGACCAAGATGACCCCTACCCACGCGCACGAAGGTATTGCATGCATGGTCCAGGTGCAATATGTGTTGGGACGTTAGAACTTGGTTCCGAAACTGTTCTATCTCTGGCAGTTATTTTCCAAAGCTGACCCTTCTCTTGGCGACCGATCATGATATTTACATTTCATGACCCCCTACATTTTGAAGAGTATATTTGTAGGCGATGCTTCCTCTCTGTATGAAACCACCTCCGTGTTCTGGTGGTAGAGCGTCGGGGTGTTTTATCCCCGGCCGCGTCATAGCAACATACGTTAAAAGATGGTACTTGTTGTTACCCTGCCTGGCGCTCGGCAATAACGGGCTTAGACAAGGACTGGTCGGCTGGGAGTCAGTATTCTGTGTCTGAGTGGGGTGTTCATGTTAAGCTGCGGCTAGTATCCCAGCGGTGGCACACACACACGCGCGCACACACACACACACACACACACACACACACACACACACACACACACACACACACACATATGCGTGCATGCACGTCCCTATATACAGTAAACCCCGGTTATAACGAACTCGAAGGGACGAGTAATTTTAGTTCGCAATACCCGTAGTTCGTTATAAGCATATACACGACATTTATACAACAAATGGTCGGGACTGAAAAATAGGTTCGTTATATCAGTCAGTTCGTTATATTCGTGTTCGTTATAACCGTGGTTTACTGTATGTGCAATAAACTGACGCGACGTTAAATCCCATTTCACCTCGACTCATCTCTCACGTTCGTGGGTAAGAATGGGCCCATGCAATTTAAGCTTGTCCTAAGACGGATCAGTTGGTTCGTCTCGGTTGATTGCGTGTCATCGTGCCCCGACATCTTGGTACATTGTTCATAATATCAATCACTGGTTGTTTTGTCCAGATTCGATTACTTTCATGCACATAGATGGTACACATAATTGCTGAACTCGTGTGGTCTTTAATTAGATTGGTTGGTTGGTTTCTTGTTTGACGCCGCTCTCAGCAATAATCCAGCTATTATGACGGCGGTCTGTAAATAATCGAGTCTGGACCAGACAATCCAGTGATTGATATCATGAGCATCGATCCACCCAATTGGGATTGATGACATGCATCAACCAAGTCAGCGAGCCTGACCACCCGATCCCGTTAGTCGCCTTTTACGACAAGCATAGTCACCTTTTACGGCAAGCATGGGTTGCTGAAGACCTATTCTCAAACCTTTTGCGAGGACTGAGTCCAATGTTTTGGGTGTGTTGTCGAGCTGAAATGAGAAAACATCATTAACTAGACATTAAACAAAGGCTAGTATAATAAATATTAGCTTCAGTGTACACGGTTTTCATGATGTTTCATTCAGAGGTGTATATTTTCTTTTGATACCTCTGATTGACCAATCAGAATTGATTAATTTCCAAATACATCGTAGAGTTAGGAGATAACCTGCTGTTTTTTTAAATTTGTAGTCATTTCACTGTAGAATTGGTATTTAATTTGGAAACGAGCGCTTCAGACGAATGAGAAATATTCAAGCAAGAGGCCGTTTTCTCCAACTCCATTTGGCTGTTTTCTACAATGGCCGTTTTAACTAGGACCGTTACGACCCGTCATGTGAACGTGAGTGGTCGTCGCTATTTTACATACTTTTCTGAGTACGTATTTCAGGTAAGTGAGCATTTTCTTGAAGTTTCATAGAGCATTTCCATAAGAACGCACGCATGGAGACGAATACGTCAGACTGACAACTCGTAATATGTTAATGGCTGGTCGCCTAGCTTGAACCAGGACGGCATATGCTCGTCGGGATTCCACGAAACGAAACTAGGAAGTAAAGCGACTCCGCAAAAAGGCTGTACTACAAACATGGATACGGCGCACCTTCTGAAATGTGTTCAAAAGTTCAAAATCTTTTAGGAGAGCCACAAACGCGTTTCATGCGTAAACTGGATTTGCAATATAGTGCCTACATTGGTCCCAACACGCTGCCATTCAGTAACCGGTAATGTTTAAAAACTTCTTTTACAAATCAACAAGTCGTAATTAACTCTCACCTAACAAGGCGAACTTTGGCCTTTAGTTCTTCTATCTGTTCGGTTATCGGACGATATGCTAGTGTGCCACCCCCATGCATCTTAATGTATTGTCATTCAATAACCGATAATGTTAAACCAGTAATGTTTTTTGGTCGTTAAGTGAAGGAAACCTTTAAAAACAGTTCCAAGTTCATGGTATATGTAGTTAAAATATTTGAAAAGTTCTATTTTGAAAGCTATAATTTATATGTTATATTTTAAGAATACATAGTTTCAGTGACGGCAATGTTATCAAACATTGGTGGCTTTAATCACTGGACACATGTGACACTGCATGGTTGCTCCGTACTGTGACGGATGAAAACGAAAACAGCACCTGGCGAAAACGACACCAGGCTTGGCCAAATTGTCTTGCTTTATTCATAATCTTTGTGGTAATAAATCTAAAACCATATGTCATAAATATGTAATATTGTATATGTTTTTAGGTAAAACCAGCTGAAATAAGACACAATATCCTTTTAAATGTTAAGGTTAGTCTAATGATAAATAAATATATTTTCCTTTTTGTTTTTCATTTTTCTCTATAATTATTATTCTGTGTATGATAATATGTCATGGTGCCGTTTTGATCAATATGGTGCCGTTTAGACGCAGTGCCGTTTTAGCATGATCAGTTGTGGAGCTGAGGTTGTGTGCCAATGTGTTGGGTTCACTTCTATGTCTCCAAATGAATACCGATCATAAAATATTTGAAAGTCCGATTTGTGCAATTTGTGACCTTCCAGGACTACTTTTGGCCCCTTCATCTGTTGGTCTGATGTAGATATTGTACCGAATCTACCCCTTTTCACATACACATTGCTTTTATTTATTTCAGGATTCAGTGTAGAACCACAAAGGCATAAATGGCAGAACCAGTGGCATCAAAGACCATTGCTTTTAAAAACCTGTGTTGCAGCAACTGTGAAGTAGAAATACAAGACCTTGTGATTTTATCATGTTACCATGCCATCTGCAAAACCTGTCTCAAAACTGGTGAACAAATAAGGGATGAAGAGAAGTCAGTCACATTGTGTCCAGTATGTAAAACAGAAGTCACCTCAGCAGCTGGACCTAATGCTCTCCGCTCGCAGCTGAACACATGTATCAGTCGAGTGTTTGGTTTGTTAGGAAACGGCTTACCAAAGACTGAAACAAGTAACTGTAGCATCTGTTGTTTGCGGAACCAGCTCAATGAAGCGACCCACCAGTGTCTCGACTGTGCTGATGTTCTTTGTGATCTCTGCCAGAAAGGCCACAATGCATCACGGATCACCCATGCTCATCGAGTAGTGGCCATTGAAGATGTGAAAAGTGGGAAGTATGTTGTTACAGCACAGACAACCCTGCCTTGTAGTAACAGTGCACATAAGAGAGCCAATTGTGCTTACTTTTGCCAGATTTGTGTCTCACCAATGTGCGAATACTGCCTCCTGTTCGAACACAAAGGTCATCAGATCCTTCCTTTAGAAGAAGCTTCCAGACAATGTGGAAAGCAACTGGAAGAACGATCAGAAAAACTTGACACATACCTTGCTGAGGTAACGTCAATGCTTGAAAAGAGCAGCAGTCGGCGTGGGAATATTATTGCATCACGAGAAGCCACCCTGAACACACTCAGGGAAAAAACACAGGCCATGGTGGAATCACTTCAGAAACAGGAGCAGGAGGCGGTGGAAAAGGTGACACGCTTGTGTGAGAATCAACTCCTTCTTGTCAGTACAATGAACCACAAATTGGAGCAAATTACAAATCTGTGTCCGAAAGTCTTGTCCCTTACACATTCAGTTCTTGAAGCCAGAGAGGATCTCCAATTCCTCCTTCTCTGTAAGGACCTTGAGAAATGTTTCGAAGAAAGCGAACATTTACAGGATTCGATAGAAACGTTTGCAATAAAATGGAAAATACCTAAGTTCAAGGTACAGTGTGATTTTCCAAATAATTCGGTTATCGGCGTAAAACAGTCATTTGTCAGTCCACAACTTCTTCAAGGAGAGAGCAAAGAAAGAGGTGTCTTGTCAGGAGAAGATTCAGACAGACGTCAGATCATTTCCGCTACTTCAGGTGGTAAACATTCAAACAGCTCATTGAAAGCTGAAGAAAATTCCACGCTGAAACAAGCTCAACCCACGGGGCCACAAAAATTGAAAGGAGGCAACAAGCAACACATGGCCACAAAGGATGAATTGGAGGTCTGTAGTAATGGAATCCTGACTACTGACACATTCCTTAGTAATGATACCAATTGGGCATCAGCTTCTTCAAAACTTGATGCTGCTGAATCACCTGAAGACCCCGAGGATGTATTCCATCTAGCCAAATCTCTGGTGATAGTTGCTGAAGAAGGAAAGATGCTGACAAACAGTTTTCCAAGACATCCAACCACTGTCAAGTGCAAAGAGCCTGGTCGTGGCATTGGGTCGAGATTGGAAGAAGGTGATGTGCGGACCTCTCAAGGACGTGGTGTGCCTATGATTAATCCAGTTCTCCGGGACATAGGGTCACCTCTGGATGGACAATATGTCCAATCTGCTGTCCCTGAAAACACATGTAGAACCCAAGGTCGAAGCAATGGTGTCGGATCTCTCCGACTAGAAAAAACAAAAGTTTATCATTTAAGAGTGGTAAATGATGAAACAGATCCAGAGATCAAAGGTTTGGCAGTTGCCTTAGGTAATACCACCATCGCAGACAACGGGAATAAGAAGATTCGTCTGATTGATAAGAAGGGACATTCGGCAAACATGAGCAAGAACGTATTGAAGGACAACATTCCTACCCACGCCCTTGTCCATCTTGGGCATATGGTTGTTTATATTTGTGGTGCTTGCATCTACATTGCTGATAAATCTCTAAGAGCCCAGCGGGTAGTACCACTGGAAATCAGTAAATCAGCCAGTCAGGGTCTCATTCTGTGCAAATACACAGATACCTCTTTTATGGTCGGAAATCTCCCTGAGAACTTGGTGCGCGTGTATAATAGCAATGGTCAACTGACGTCGGTGAGAAAGGCTCCTGTTGATGGCCCTATAAATGCAATGTCTCTGAGTAACGAGGAGCATGTTCTGTTCAGCTGCCCCGGTGCTGTGTTCCAGATCCAAAAGTATGGCAATCTATCTCAAGTCTTCAAACCTCCAAATGTCCCTGATTGGTATCCAGAGGGCACCTGCGTGGATAAGAGGAATAACCTGTATGTTGCTAATCCCCGCCAGAATCGGATCCACGTGTTTAGCGCTGGGGGTGAACAGCTCTACCTTCATTCAACCTTGAGTGATAATCTGGTGTCACCTCGGTGTTTAGCAATATCGTCAAACAGACTGTTTGTGTCGGGAAATCACCCACATCTGTTTGTGTTTACCATTCTGGATGTAGACAAATAGGATCTTGAAGACCTGAATCAGAGCTACAGATAAGCAGCGTATTTGCGTAAAATACCCCTCAAAATATTCAAAACCCAATTACCGTATTCGACGTAATAAGCCCCCCGCTCTAATAAGCGCCCACGGCGATATTTGCCAATATATTGGCTAGTGAACAATCCCAATTAGCACCCCTTCCGATTGATCAATGTACACAAGACTTATTTATTCGCATATAATACACACTCGTGTGTTATATGCACCCTTAACTATGGGCATTTAAATTCTGGAAAAATGTATCTCACGTATATAAACATTTCAGGCTGTCAGCATAAAGCACGAAATTTATCTTTCAACTCTGTCTTTTTCACCAAAATAATATTCTAATAAGAGCCCCCTATTTCTAATTTTGAGAGCGCCCTGTGCGCTTATTACGTTGAATACGGTACATTCAAGTAACTTTTGTACAGAAATGCATGCATTAAATGAAAAACTCAAATGTATAAAAACAGCACGCGTAAATACCCAATGAAGCTTTTCCAGCTTGCGTACAACGGAGGTCATTTCCGAAGCACAATTACGGGCTAATTTAGTCAAGCCTATATACTTAGAACAGTTATATACATCTAAAACATTATTTCATTTTTTTTAAGATCTTAAAATGTTCACTAATTTTGGGAAAAACACAATAGAGTGATGAATAGATGAGTGAAACAATATTGGTTACCCAATGAAAAATGTAATAACCCAATTAAAATAGAAACCCAAGAGTAAAAAACTTAATTGCTCAAAAGGTTATCTGGAACTCTGTTAAATGAGGAAAATTGTATTAGCAAGTGAATGCATGGTGTTTTTTGTGTGAATATATGATCTCTGTTTGTGTGAATACATGAGGTCTATTTGTATGGATACATGATGTCTATATTCATGTGAATACATGAGGTCTATTTGTATGGATACATGATGTCTATATTCATGTGAATACATGAGGTCTATTTGTATGGATACATGATGTCTATATTCATGTGAATACATGAGGTCTATTTGTATGGATACATGATGTCTATATTCATGTGAATACATGAGGTCTATTTGCATGGATTCATGATGTCTATTTGTATGGATACACGATGTCTATATTCATGTGAATACATTTTGTTTATTCATGTGAATACATGAGGTCTATTTGTGTGAATCCATTTTGTTTATTCGAGAGGATACCTGAGGTCTATTTGTGTGAATACACGATGTCTATATTCATGTGAATACATGATGTCTATTTGTATGAATACACGATGTCTCTATTCATGTGAATACATGATGTCTATTTGTATGAATACACGATGTCTATATTCATGTGAATACCTGAGGTCTATTTGTATGGATACACGATGTCTATATTCATGTGAATACATGAGGTCTATTTGTATGGATACACGATGTCTATATTCATGTGAATACATGATGTCTATTTGTATGAATACACGATGTCTATATTCATGTGAATACATGATGTCTATTTGTATGAATACACGATGTCTATATTCATGTGAATACATGAGGTCTATTTGTATGGATACATGATGTCTTTATTCATGTGAATACATGAGGTCTATTTGTGTGAATCCATTTTGTTTATTCGAGAGGATACCTGAGGTCTATTTGTGTGAATATTATGTCTATTTGTATGGATACACGATGTCTATATTCATGTGAATACATGAGGTCTATTTGTGTGAAAACATTTTGTTTATTCGAGAGGATACCTGAGGTCTATTTGTGTGAATATTATGTCTATTTGTATGGATACACGATGTCTATATTCATGTGAATACATGATGTCTATTTGTGTGAATACCTGAGGTCTATTCATGTGAATACATGAGGTCTATTTGTATGGATACACGATGTCTATATTCATGTGAATACATGATGTCTATTTGTATGGATACACGATGTCTCTATTCATGTGAATACATGAGGTCTATTTGCATGGATACATGATGTCTATATTCATGTGAATACCTGAGGTCTATTTGTATGGATACACGATGTCTATATTCATGTGAATACATGAGGTCTATTTGTATGGATACACGATGTCTATATTCATGTGAATACATGATGTCTATTTGTATGGATACACGATGTCTATATTCATGTGAATACATGAGGTCTATTTGCATGGATACATGATGTCTATATTCATGTGAATACATGAGTTCTATTTGTGTGAATCCATTTTGTTTATTCGAGAGGATACCTGAGGTCTATTTGTGTGAATATGATGCCTATGCATGTGAATACATGATGTCTTGGTGTGAATACAATGTCTGTTTATGTGGATCGGGATGATTATTTGTGAATACATCATGTCTGTGTGGAAACATGATCTCTCACTCAAACCTAAATCAAAGCAGTAACATTTATGTCGCTACTGTGTCAAGTCCCGTCCATGGGAAAACTCTCCAATCACTGTTTTGAGAGTGAGGATTAACAGGGTTCTCTGAAGGTAAACCAGGGAAGACGTCTGTCATGGATGGATGTTGAAAGAGAACGACTTACCTCATTAGAATACTTAAGTGTTCAGTACCCTGGTTTCGTGATAATACTGATATCTAACAAATGGTTGCCAGTTTCATGGCAAAGTAGAATTGCAATATATTTCCAATTGGTCCCAACACGCTACCATTCAGTAACCGGTAATGTTAAACCAGAAATTTGTATATCTTTAAGTTAAAGAGACCTTTTACAACTGTTCGAAGTTCATGAGTTCATGGTATATGTGGTTAATATTTATATAAAGTTCTATTTAAAGCTATGTTTTATAGAAGTTATATTTAAAGAATGCATGTTTCAGTGATGGTTATTCTAGACAGATGGGAAGTTAGTTTTTATCCCCCACCCCAACATGTGTGCATGTGCGTCCCGAAATCGTTTCCGGAGCATAACTCAGAAACCGTTAAATATTTCTCTACGAAACTTTGCATGTCTATCAGACTCATGCTGAACTGGTGCCTTTTGCTATTTAAGAATTTTATAAATTTTTATTTTTTACGTTTCCATGGCAACAAGTTGGACTTAGGTTCTTTCAGGGTGCTGTTCGTTTCCGGAGCGTCACTCAAAAACTGTTAAATAATTTCTTACAAAACTTTGCATGTTTACCAGACACATACTGAACTGGTACCTTTTGCTATTAAGGAGTTTTATAAATTTTTATGTTTTACGTTTCAATGGCAACAAGTTGGACTTAGGTTCTTTCAGGGTGGTGTTCGTTTCCGGAGCATAACTCAAAAACTGTTAAATACTTTCTTACAAAACTTTGCATGTCTTCTAGGCACATACTGAACTGGTGCCTTTTGCCATTAAGGAATTTTATAAAATTTTATTTTTTACGTTTCCATGGCAACAAGTTGGACTTAGGTTCTATTGGGTAGTGTTTGTTTCTGGAGCATAACTCAAAACCCATTCAATACTTTCTAACAAAACTATGCATGTTTACCAGACACATACTGAACTGCCTTTTGCTATTTAGGAACTTAAGAAATTTTTATTTTTTACGTTTCCATTGCAACAAGTTGGACTTTTTAGTGCTGCAATGAGGCCATTTACAAAAAGGCCCAGTGAACATAGTTCACAGGAGCTAATGCATTGCACACAACTGGACATGTCATATTGGCGGGGGATATCAGTATTTCATGCTTGTTTATAATTCAGTCTCAATTCTTGTCATCTCCTTGACAGCCCATTTCAGCTCAGCTCCACTCTGGATGTAAATGTGGATACTTTGAAATCAGTTTATTTCTGCGTGCAGACATGAACCCAGTCATCTTAGGCGCTGTCAGTCTCCTGTAGACTTCCGTCCTTGATCTGCACCAGGATCTGCTGGTCGTAGGTTCAAATTCCAGATTTTCTCCCCACATTTGACGAACATCATAACCACAGTGAACACTACTGGGACCCGTGAAGATCCTGGTTAGAGTAAGTCTTCAGCAACCCATGCTTGCCGTATAAGGCGACTATGCTTGTCGTAAGGATCCGGTGGTCAGGCTCACTGATTCGCTTGCTGCAAGTCATCATATCCCAATCTGCTTAGATCGATGCTCATGATGTCAATCACTGGATTGTCATAACTGGAATATTGCCGAGTGCATGGTGAAACAACAAACAGACAAAACTGAAAATAATCTTTGCTTAAAAAGGGCAACAAAGGCTGCTTGCTTCCCAATTTCCTGACTAATCCAGACAAAGTCAAATCCGAATTTGGGGAGGGTTTCTAGAATTTTTTCGATCGAAAAGAAAATTTCCCCAAAAATAATCATGCTTCAGACTGTCGTTGCAAGTTGTTTTTCTTTAAGAAAAATATTCAAGCTCATTGTTAAGTTAAATATATAAAAAATACCTGGTTTTGTAGCTACAGCTGAAAAATATCTAATACTTCTCAAAAGAAGTTAAAAAAGCACCCTATTCATGAAAGATCAACTGTAGTAAGAGGAAAGAATCAGATGTTCTTTAACTTCTTTTGAGTAGTATAGATAGCAATAGTCTTAGCTGGTATGCCATGTCATTTAATGTAGGTAGCCAAGTGGTTAAAGCGTTCGCTCGTCATGCCGAAGACCCGGGTTCGATTCCCAACATGTGAAGCCCATTTCTGGTGTCCCCCGACGTGATATTGCTGGAATATTGCTTAAAGCGGAGTAAAACCATACTCACTCACTCACTCACTCACTCATTTAATGTAGAAACAAACTTAACCAAACAGAATATAATTATCAAAATATTTATTCATCAACAAACCTTCAGTGTTTTCACAAGATGAGGCTCATGTTGTGGGCAGCTACGAGCTTTGTTAAGTTTGTTTGTTGTTCAACGCGGCACTCAGCTATATTCTGCTATATATGATGGTGGTCTGTAAATATTCAAGTCTGGACCAGACAATCCAGTGCTTGACATCATGAGCATCGATCCACGACATTGATCTATGACATGCATCAACCAAGTCAGTGAGCCTGACCACCCGATCCTGTGAGTCACCTAACAACGCGTGTGGTCTGATCTCTGATTAATGAACAATTTGCATACTCGTATATGCAAGAGGCCGACGTATGGTTCTCAGTAGGAAGTGACAACTTGGAGACGATGGCTTGCGGTATATACAGTTTTACTTTATACATGTAGATATATACATACAGAAGACACTATGTGCCAGGTCAGCACATGGTGGTAGTGGTTGTTGTCTTGGTGCCCCGGAGCACCCAGCCTAACCCTAGCTAGGCTAAGGGTAGACCTTTCTTGTTCTCCTCTTCTCTCCTCTCTCTCTCTTTTCTTTCTCCTTCTGGACCAAGGCTTATATAGCCAAGGTCACCTGACATTTAGTAAGTAATAAATATAAATGTAAACAGTAAATCATAAGTGACATACTTGCACATCCTGTTCAGGATGGCAGACGGTCGATGTACACAAAAATGGGGATTAACAAATAGGATTAGCATCTAATAAATAACAGCAATTAAATGTTTCAAGGCATATAGATGTCATGGCTCCAGGGTAATGAGCCTTTGCAATTAAATGTTCTTTAGACAATGGGTGTCGTAAATCAGTCACCATGACAACTTCCCTCCGTTACGTGAAGCTTGGACCCCAAGCTTATATGAGTCCAAATTTATATGTGTGAGTTTTTTTCACCAACGAAAACAACCATGCAAATGTGATCAAAATAAGTTATATGAAATCCTTATGCAACAAATATATCTATGCAATGACGGTATGAAAGTGATCATCTAGCCAATTTGATTTAGTGCCAGTTAGAAACTAACCAAGTGATCTTTGTAATGTGCAATTTCACTACAAGGTAATTACTGCTTTGCACAGATTCAATAAATATATCACTGAAGGTTCTTTGAATTCAGGAGTCTGGCTTGGCGGTGCGACTCAGTACCGAATAATGATAATGAGTAATGTCATAAAAAGTACAAATTAAACATCTCAGCAAATATTTCGCATAAAGAAATTTGAAATCAGGAGTCTAGCTTTACCGCGTGACTCAAACGGTACTTGTGGGTACGTTTGCCCTTTTAAGTACAATGGGTGCTCTTCCCGTGTCTTTGACGGAGCTTGCCCAGATATTGTGGGTGCGATGCCCAAGAAAAAAAATCCTTAATTCCGACATCAAAATTCTGAAATGCTGAATACTGCTGTGCTGTTAATTACTTAATACTGACATACAATAAACATATGTGTAGGGGTGGCTCACCCAAGAATATCCCTAATCTGAATTCAAAGTCCCAGACAATACATTCAATTTTGTACCAAACTGTGCACATTAATTACTTGTAACATGTGTAACAAATGACAAATTTTGTCGTTTAGATTTTTGAAATTACGAGTCGAGCTTAGAGGTGTGACTCGATAACCCTACAGCTAAGGTTTGTCTGGGCCCTAGCTGCAACTATATGTCTGGCGTGGCCTGGAGACATTTCAAAGATTCCCTACACAATAACTTCAAAGATCTAGCTGACTAAAGATGTAATTTGGAGTATATTGCACACATACAAAACTGAATTTTGGAAAGACACATTTTGGCATTAATATACTGGCTTTGATTAAACATACCTGGTTGCACTATTCAACAGTCACACAATATATATCCTTGATTGAGTCCATGTAAGTAAACACAAATTAGTAAGTCCCAATGAGATATCTTGTACACAGTGTCCATCTTGTAGGTGCCCGTGAGGCGGTTTCTGTATTGTGCAGGGTCTGCATGAAGATGGCTGTGGTCGGGTCTCTGTGGGATAGGTGTGTATACTTCTTTTCTTAGGTCATGTGCAGGAACGACATCTTGAAGGGGAAGTCTTAGCAGTGTTGCTAAGATATGCGAGCAGGGAAGGTTTGGGATCGGAGAACTTGTTCTTGATTGGAGAGGTTCTTGTTCTTTCTTCAATCTTGTTAAAGGCCATTTCTTTGTTCTTGGTGATTGGCCCCCAGGAAGGTAGTATATCCTTTTAATAAGAGACTGTCACTTCCTACAGTTTTGTGAACCATATGCCGTGCTGCAAAGAGGTACAGGAAAGGACAGACTAAGAAATCTGTCATACCCGATAGCTCCACCAAATTAACAACGCATGGCGGTCCGACGTTGATTAATGAACAATTTGCATACTCGTATATGCAAGAGGCCGACGTATGGTTCTCAGTAGGAAGTGACAACTTGGAGACGATGGCTTGCGGTATATACAGTTTTACTTTATACATGTAGATATATACATACAGAAGACACTATGTGCCAGGTCAGCACATGGTGGTAGTGGTTGGTGTCTAGGTGCCCCGGAGCACCCAGCCTAACC